TGCAAATTCGAAATAAATTTGTTTTGCTTTAAAACTGTGAAACTAGTAATTAGTCCGCGTTTCTTCCTGTTTGAACAGACGCTAGCTGACCTTGTAATTTCATTCATATTGTATTATATTGTACATAAACGCTGTTTTGCTGACTTAGCAAACTTAGCTAGCTTTTGTTCCAGCACTTTTACTTTTTAAAAATAGCAAGAGTAACAAGCTATACATACTATCTCTTTTATTTGATTTTCATTTACTTCTAAATGATTTCTGTTTACATATCTATTGTATTTTGTTTTCAATGGTTATTCAAACCTTATATAAGTAAGTTGCTTTGCCAACTTATTTTTCGATTATATTGCTCATTACATCGCGGATTTGAGAGCTGATTACATTGTCGATTACATTTGTGAGCTAAGTTACGCTACGTGCACAGGAATAAACGCTGTTGGAACCACAGTTCAGTTTGCCTTTGCTGTACCAGTTAGTGGTTTGATCCCGGACCTCAAGAGAAGTGACGGCTCTTTCCCGCAAGCGAGTTGCCAATTGAGTTTAGTTTCCCCAGTTAATCGAGAGTTAAAGCGCCGAGTTCCCGTTGAGTGTTCAAATCGTTACAAAGTGGAAAAACTTTCCGTCACAGCTGTAATGCAACTACGTGCAATTGAGCTGTATATTCAGTGAACATATATCGATGATTTTAGAAACTACGCTAGTCAATTCCAATTGATTGCTTGGAGTGTATGACTAATTCACTTCGCCACTGCTAAATTACTTTTTCGTTATTATGACAAGAAACCCTGAGAAACGTTTTTTAACAAATGGTTCATGCGTCAGCATGCGTAATTGTCGAGTGCTATGAAGCACGCGGCGAGTTTGGAGAGAACGAAAGAGAAACAAGAATCGCTCGACGCTCGACCGAGAGCAACTCTAGCCTCTATTCTCCAAACTTCCAAGAGCTTCGTTCTCATTGATGTCGCTGTCGTCGTTACTTAGACAGTAGGGAGCTTAGCCCCAGGTCTTACACAAGTTTCTTTATCACTGATATTTCCAACAATCCAAAACAGTCTTTAGTGTCGTAGTTTTCTTTCAGGATATCATTGGAGTCCATGAAAAGTTGCGACATTTGAGATCTTTTGCTAGAACAAGCTTTTCCTTTCACAAGGTCTTTTATTGCAAACTTTCCAACTTTTATGGCGGTTTCCTGTCTGGCCTTTATCAGATTCAACTTCCCACCACACTGTGAAATTAACTTACACGGTATGCCCAGCACGGTTCCAAAGTCAAACAAACGACTATGCAAACTAGATTTTCACTGCTAATAGGCTACTTACACTAAGAGGTCACGTGACCAATGCTTCCTTTAAACAAAGACTTGGAATCCTGTTGATGATAAAATTGACAGAGCGTATAAAAATTATCTTACACCCGAAATTTGAGAGGAAACGCATTTAAGGGAGATATTTTACGGCACTTTGATTTTTCAATAAAGTAGTATGGTTTTTATCGGCCGCCATGTTGGAGGGCATACTCTTGCCCTCCAACATGGCGGCCATAAGTACTTTTTGCTTTTATCTTGATAAACGTTTGATAGTTACGCTCAGATGTGCTGTAAACGTTACCACATCATCTTTTCAACAATTTCCTTGAATCAAACTGAGGAGGTGGAGGAGGGAAAACAATAAAATTGTGGAGGAGGGAATAATAACATTGAGGAGGGAAAATAATAAAATTGAGGAAAAATATTAAAATTGTGGTGGAGGGAATAAAAAAAATTGCGGACGAAAACGTGTTAAAAAAGATAGCTTGCTTTCTTTGACTATTTTATAGATTTCTTTCAAATCGCTGTGTATTTGACTCTTTTTGTTTTTAATAAAGTTTTTAAAACGGTATCTCTCTTGCGGTTTTATTGCTAGCAATTATTAGTCGCATGTTTTAATTGATCCTTGTTAAGTTATTTGTTTATATAATAATACGTCAAGGTGCTCCCTTGGGTCTAGCTGTAGAGATGAACTAATTTGTATTCAACTTTGGGCTTTCGAACTCGCATAATTAACTGATTAACGGTGCGTGAAACGCTGAGACTGTAATAGCTTTTTCTATTTCCTCGAGATAGATAGGAGAAAACGTCAGACAAACTTGAACTAGAGAGTTTTCAGTTCTACTTTGTGTATGTTTTGTTTATATATATCCAAGTTTTAGAGCTAAATAAGAAGATGTAAACTAAATTGAAATAAAGACTTTTCAACTCCACTTTGTGTATGTGTTTTGTTGATATGTGATATGTGATTTGTTGACATGATATACATAGGAAGCCGTTTCTCGTGTTCTCGTGTCCCTAAACTATCCTTACCTATCCACCAACGAGGCTTATCTCGCAACATGGTAGACTACTTTTGTTCGCACTGTATCCTCTCTCTCCTCCCTAGACGCTCCCGCTGGCTCTCGCTGGGTATCCCGTTTAGGTGTCAAAGCTACCGATACAAGATAAGGCACGTAACAAGCAACCGATGTTATTTGCATTACCAATGAATTGTGCAACACCTTTTTGAATTGAGTTTTGTTCCGTGCGAGAATTTAGAATATAACCCTGTAGGTCAATGACAAAACTTACGTGCCCAGGAGTTTGTTGATTTTTTATTAACTGACAGGTTTCGCATTTCATCCTTTTCTAAAATTGAAATTATGTTCAGTATTTCAGCCAGCTGTCGGTCAAAATTAGGGACCTTAAGCAACGACCACCACGACGAAGACAACAACAGCGTCAAAAAAACAATTGTTTTTATGTGCAAAACAACTGCTCTGCACGAGCATCACGCTTTTCAGTACATTTCTTTGACGTCCACTGCATGACTACGACGTGAAGCCTCCCTATGCGACGTTTCATGGAGGACGTGGAAATATGACGACAAATTTTTCTTTCTCTATTTGAACATGGATAAAGCCCTTAAGAATTTAACTCCAGGAAAAGTCGCCTACATTTGTCGAATTAAGCGGTTCCAAATAGACGCGATAAAGATTGAAAGGACGCAAATTCATTTTTTAGTGATGTTTTCACTGCCGTCGTCGTCGTCGATGCTTAAGGTGGCTCTCGAAGTTTCATTTTCACGTGAACAGCAGTAACTAACAATGCATTTGACATATGTAAATATGCTAGCTATTGTTGTGAACGAAAATATGAAACTTGGAGACAATACCTCCATCAACGGCGCCAATGGCTGACAGAGCGCCTATTCAATGAGATTAAGGACAACAGCCTCCACAAATTACATGGCCTTTTGCTGCCACGTAATCTTAGTACTGTAGCCTTAAGGAGAAAGCGCGCTTTTAACGTACCTCTTTGTAGAACAAATAGACCAATGAATAGTTTTATCATGCATAACGCGGCTATTTTCTAATGGTTTTATTGTAAACTCGCGGCTATTTTCTTAAATTTCATGACGCAGAATCTTTGTTCTTTTGTTTTATTTATTTACTGTTATTTATTTATAATAGTTAGTCTTAGTATTCAACGTATTGTACAGTCCGTAATCCAGCCCTTGGGCTGCAATGGATTTTTAATAAAGCTATCTATCTATCTATCTATCTATCTATCTATCTATCTATCTATCTATCTATCTACCCCTGAATAATAAGAGGCTCTCCCCTTGTAAACACAAAATTTCTGACAAAATATTAGCGAATTGAAGCCCTTATTTTACTGCCTTACAATATATCAATAATCTTAAAACTAAGAGGTCATATAAAAGGACGGTTAATCTCAAGATTCTTAAGTTTTCTAAAAAATTTATCGAGCGGTTGAAAAATTATTCGCTAAATTGTTAAAGTAGACCAAAATGTTTACATTACCGCTAACAAGAGCGCCCCGATACATACTAATCAAATCCTTCTTTTTAGCAATCGGCTGGAGGTATCTCCATGATCTTTCACACACGGTTTTAAAAAGATTGAAACTACTATGAGGTGAAATTGCATGTCAGTCAAAAGCGCTTCGTTTAATACAGATAACAGTCAAACATATCAAGATTGTCCATTTTTTACCGTATTTCTAACCATAAAAACTTCTTCCCAAAATATCTCGATGACGCTCTCGCAGATTTTGCTTAAATTTCACGAACATCGAGGCAGCTATTGTAGGAAAAAGGTCCAGTAAACGATTTTGGAAGAACAGTTCCCAATGCCGAGAAATACTGCTGCAAGTAAAATAGGTAATGGCGTCATTTCGTTGCCATGACAACTCCGATGCCATTGCAACCCTGATAATAACAAAGTTTCATCTTTATCTAATATAACTGTGGTGTCCATTTTTCCAAGTCTTTGTTTATGGCCACGTAGTTTACGCTCAAACTTGGGAGGTATTGACCTTAAAAAACTATATCGAGCCACCTTAAGGTTCCTATTATTATTATTCCTATTATCCTTTAACGTTCAGTGTCTCATCCAGCTGTCGGTCAAATTTACAACGCGAACGACAGCCTCCAGAAAAAAAATTGAAAGTGGTTTTACTTGGCCCAATAAGATGCCAGGTGATAGTGAACGCCGCCAAAAAATCATATGAAGTAATTAAAGATGTCAACAGCAAGGTTGTCATGGCGAAGGCTGTTTTGCTTTATATTGAAAGCATAAAAGGTTAAACCAACCCCCGCTTTTTTATTAGTCAACTAATTGTTGGAATAATATATCCATTCAAAACATTTGCAGGAAAGATGAAGAGGATCGGATGCAATTATATTAAACACGACTAGTCACCTCCACTTCGGTGAATAATTGTTATATATTAAAAAAGTGGTTAACTAATTTGATGAACAGCGAAGCCCTCTTAATATTTCGTTCACAGCTTGCCTTACTTCTCTGATCTTCCAACAGTACAGCAAGGGGTTTAATGACGAGTTTAAGAAAACCAAGGAAATTGTAAATTGCTTATTGAGGTACGTGGATGTAGAGATTCCTCTTTGGAGCGTTAAAGCTACCACTATAGCCGCTGGAAGATAACAAACAACCAATGTTACCTGCACCTACAGTGCACTGTACACCGCCTTTCTGTATCGAGCTATGTTCATTGGAATTGCTTGGTTTAGTTGCCTTTGGAAAGTGGGGGCTTGAACATGAATTCGGTTATGGCGAAGGATGAAGAAAATTTTTGTGTAAGCGAAAAATGTGATGAAAAGGCAGAGAGCTGTGCCTATGTATTGATACCGTGCGGTTATAACAGGATTCAAAAACCATGATGATGCGCCGACGATGGAACAGATCCACAAGCCAATTATAGTTATACAAGTTCTTTTAAAAGTTACAACTTGTCTGTATCTGAGTCTCAGCGACAAAGCGAAAAGTCTGTCCACGCTTATTGCCGTCATTGTCAAAAAGGACATTGAAAACAAAATATGGATTGCAGTTACACCAGACGCTGGTACATAAAAGCAAACATCCCACCTCTCTCTTACTTCAGACATCAGGTACACAACGTACAAAGGCTCTGCAGTGATACCAACCAAGAGATCAGTTATCGCAAGGTTGCGAAAAAGGAGTTTGGACGGCGGATAAAGTGAAGTGTCCTTGTGCAGGGCAACTAGGATCAGAGTGTTCTCCAGAAATGCAGTGACGGACAGAAAAGTATTTAGCACTGAAAGAAAGATAAGCTCGCTGTGTGCTTTTCCTGCAAATTCTGCCTTGCAAAGCAGTTCACTGAACGTTTTTTGGCTGTTGTCTTGGGTAAAATTTGTGAGGTCCGCCATCCCTAATCTTCGCTGTAATGCAACTAGGTGCAGCTGAGCTGTATATTCAGTGGACATATATCGACGCTTTTATAGACTAGGCTAGTCAATTCGAATTGATTGCTTAGAGTGTATGAATAATTCACTTCCCCACTGAGAAATTGCTTTTTAATTATTATGAGCAAAAACCCTTAGAAACGTTTTTTTAACAAATGGTTCATGCGTCAGCGTGCGTAATTGTCGAGTACTATAAAGCACGCGGCGAGTTTGGAGAGCACGAAAGATATATAAGAATTGCCCGACCAAGAGCAACTCTAGCCTCTATTCTCTAACCTTCCAAGTGCTCAGTTCTCATTGATGTCGCCGTCTTCGTTATTTAGACAGTAGGGAGCCTATTATAAGCGCCGGAAGTAGATCTAGGAGTAGACGGCAATTGATCGTGAACGTTACGTTATTGCTCCTTTAAAGTTACAATTTTATAGCGTCTTGATGCGAAAACAGATAAATCAGGTTATATTAGGGCTTCTTTGACGTAACATCGCCTGTAAGAGTGAGATTGTATTTTCGTTTGCGTGAGTGAAGTGCCTCTCTCTAATAAGCTATTAACATTACATCCACCTGTGTTAATTAAGCGGCCAAAGGGTAGGCAGTATATATACACGTTTAGGCGGCGTGCAAAGGCTCTGCGGTGATACCAACCAAGAGATCAGTTATCGCAAGGTTGCAGAAAAGGAGTTTGGACGGCGGATGAAGTGAAGTGTCCCTATGCAGAGCAACTAGGATCAGAGTGTTCTCCAGAAATGCAGTGATGGACAGAAAAGTATTTAGCACTAAAAGAAAGATGAGCTCGTTGTGTACTTTTTCTGTAAATTCTGCCTTTTAACGCAGTTCACAGATCGTTTTTTTGCTGTTGTCTTCGGTAAAATTTGTGAGCTCTGCCATCCCTTATCTTCGCTGCCGGTATAAGGAGAGATTTTCCATGAATTCTTTATTTGCCTCGAATTTCATATATAGCTTTCAAATATTCGCTTTGACGGTGTTTTTAGTAATTCATACTGAATTTGCATAAAGAGGTTTTAGCTCCGCAAAAAGGCTCGTGCCATTTTATTGTCCTTTCTTTTATTTGCTTTGTGTTCGCTAATGAATAATCATGAAAAGCCAACCGTGTTCCTTAACAAACAAAACTAATTGCTCGTTCTCTTTTCCATTATACACATTTCACTTCAAAGTTAACTCTTACAATGAAAAGAATACCTAGTTTCTGAATAATGGCTATTAACTTTAGTTTATCTTTTAATTTTAGCTAAAAGCCTTTCTTTTTATTCTGCACGACACCCGTTGACATTACCACCTTTTTACAGATGTATCTCGTTTTAATTGCATTTTACCTATATGTATTTGCGAATATAACTTTCATTAGTCTGTTGGTTAAATAGTGGCAACAGCTGAGTTTGGAATATGAAAGGTTGATTTTTCAACAAAGTAGTATGATGTAGTTGTTAGATGTTTGATCGATTCGCGTCCACACTACCCTTTTGAAGTATTTTCGGCTGTCCGCGCTAAAACTTTCGAAAAAGATAAAATTGCACGTTGTGAAGCAAGTAAAGATCAGTAAACTATTCGTATACTACAACCACACGCGCCTGTGATATTTTCGGTCATCGTTTTCATTTTGATGCGACTATTCACACTCATACGATATGTATGCCTATTCGTTTTGATCGATGAGTTTTCGATGAAAACGCTCAGCGTATTAGTGTGGACGCAAGGCCTAAACGCATCGAAATGTACGCGTTTTCAAACAAAAACGCATTGGTGTCGACGGGGCCTCAGTCACGTGAATTGGAAAAGTGGTAAATCTTACCAAGAGAGCATGGAGATTACTTCGTGCTTCCCTGGAAACGCTTGCAGTAATTGTCTCAACGATAACTGCTCTGGTATAGATCTCCTGTTAGAGTAGCTGATTGTCTTATATTGCTTGCATCAATGAAGCAGACTCAAAGGCCTAAAGTTGTAGGCCAGGTGAGGGGGTTAGTTTGAGACCCGTGGGAGGTCATTGGAAGGGATGAAGCAAAAAACAGTTTCAAACTTGGTCAATCTTGTTTAGCAGCTACTGAAGTTGATTACATTTATTTTATTTTTACGTTGGTAATACTTGGTAAGGCGAAAATTATCACTCGTTATGATTAAACATTCCTTCTGGTCTTGGCTAGCAACAGTTTCCAGCATATTTTAGCGCTAACACTTCTAAACAGTCCGACAAATTAAGGTCGCTGATTAAGTCGTCCCACACAAAATTATTGCAAACTTTGACCTGAGCTGGTTGTAGAGTTATAAGCCATTGCATTGTTTACATTGTTTAAAAATCCGCTTGAAGTAGCCATTGAATTAATAAAACTAAGTTAAACGTCGGTCAATTTTGAAAACAGTGTTTACAGTGTCTGTGACGGATAAATCTAACTTGAATTGGAACAGAAAAGTTTGCTTGCCTTACTTTTCTGACTTTCAATAGTAAAGCGATATGGGTTTAATGACGAATTTAGGCAGGGGCACCCAACAAGAATATAGTTCAAAACCACTTAAACATAGCATTGTTAAACGTATTTTACCATTTAAACGGTAGATATAGGCATATTTTTATCCCCTAAAAATTTTTGATCTGTTTGGATTTCCTAGCTGAAAGTCTAGTGATCCGAAGATTATAGGGATCCAAACTTACCTTTTCGAAAATTTCAGCCAGAAAAAAGGCTCCCAAAATTCTAGGTGACCTTTCAAGGGTAAAAATCCGTTAAAAATGGGCAATTAAACATTTTTTAGATGTTCGAAAATCCTAGGACAGGCAGGCAAGCAAGAAATTTTACAATAAATGTTCCGAAAATTCTAGATCTGAAATCGTCTTCCGAACAGATATTTTCCGAAAATTGACGTTGGGCGCCCCTGTTTAGGTAAACTAAAAAAACCGTAAATCTCCTTGGAAGATAAATCGATACCGGCATCATTCGTTTAGGTGTCAAAGGCTACCGATACAAAATAAGGCAGGCAAACCAACCGATGTTATTTGTATTAACAATGAATTGTGCAACGCCTTTTTGAATCGAGTTTTGTTCCGTGCCAGAATTTAGAATATAACCTTGTAGCTCAATGACAAAACTTCCGTGCCCAGGAGTTTGCTAATTGTTTTATTAACTGAGTAAACAAGTTTCGCATTTTATCCTTTTCTAAAATTTAAATAATGTTCAGTATCTCCGCCAGCTGTCGATCAACATTATAAAACGCGAAAGACAGCCCCCAGAAAAAAAAAAATTGAAAGTGGTTTCACTTGACCCAATAAAAGGTCAGGTGATAGTGAACGCCAAAAAAATCATATGAAGTAATTAAAGATGTACTTAGCAAGGTTGTCATGCCAAAGCTATCTTGTGTTATATTGTAAGCTTAAAAAGTTAGACCATCCCCCGCTATTTTTGGAGGAATTAAAAAGAAGTGATCAGCGCCTCAATTTTTTTAAGCTTCATAGGAATGGAACGGAACGGCAAAACGAAAGGTGTTTTCATTGATCCAAGCTACGAACACCCCTTTGTATACCCTATTATGCAAACCTCTATATACCTTCCGTTTTTCCGTGACATAGGGAAGAGAGAAAAAATTTAGTACTCTTTAAGATAATTGCATGCGATCTTCTTCGTCTTTAATTCTTGCGAAAGTTTTGAATAAACATATAATTCCAACATTTAGTTGACTTTTTTACCCAATTTCAACCCTAAGGCTTATATCTGAATCCTACAATTTTGTGTTTATATAAATACAGATGGAGACACAGGAGACGCAAGTAAAGTTAAATAAAATGAGTCCAGGATATCACCATTAAAAAAATGGTTAACTAATTCGAAGAACAGCGAAGCCCACTTAATGTTTCTTTCACAGCTTGCCTTACTTCTCTGATCTTCCAACAGTACAGCAAGGGGTTTAAAGAGGAATTTAGGAAAACCACGGTGATTGTAAATTGCCTAGTGAGGTACATGGATATAGGGATTCCTCTTTGGGGCGTTAAAGCTACCACTATAGCCGCTGGAAGATAACAAACAACCAATGTTACCTGCACCTACAGTGCACTGTACACCGCCTTTCTGTATCGAGCTATGTTCATTGGAATTGCTTGGCTTGGTTGCCTTTGGAAAGTGGGGGCTTGAACATGAATTCGGTTATGGCGAAGGATGAAGAAAATTTTTGTGTAAGCGAAAAATGTGATGAAAAGGCAGAGAGCTGTACCTGTGTATTGATACCATGCGGTTATAACAGGATCCAAAAACTCTGATGATGCGACGACGATGGAATAGATCCACAAGCCAATTAAAGTTATACAAGTTCTTTTAAAAGTTACAACTTGTCTGTATCTGAGTCTCAGCGACAAAGCGAGAAGTCTGTCCACGCTTATTGCCGTCATTGTCAAAAAGGACACTGAACACAAAATATAGCTTGCACTTAAACCAGATACTTGTGCATAAAAGCAAACATTCCACCTTTCTTTTACTTCAGACATCCAATACACAACGTGCAAAGGCTCTGCAGAGATACCAACGAAGAGATCAGTTATCGCAAGGTTGCGAAAAAGGAGTTTGGACGGCGGATGAAGTGAAGTGTCCTTATGTAGGGCAACTAGGATCAGAGTGTTCTCCAGAAATGCAGTGATGGACAGAAAAGTATTTAGCACTGAAAGAAAGATAAGCTCGCTGTGTGCTTTTTCTGTAAATTCTGCCTTGCAACGCAGTTCACTGATGGTTTTCTGGCTGTTGTCTACAGTAAAATTTGTGAGCTCCGCCATCCCTTATCTTCGCTGTAATGCAACTACGAGCAACTGAGCTGTATATTAAGTGAACATATATCGATGCTTTTTATAGACTACGCTAGTAAAAACGATTTGATTGCTTGGAGTGTATGAATAATTTACTTTGCCACTGCTAAAATCAGAATCCCTCAAGCGCGTTTCTTTAACAATTAGTTCATGCGTCAGCGTGCGTAATTGTCGAGTACTATAACGGCACGCGGCGAGTTTGAGAGCAGGAAAGAGACATGAGAATTGCTCAAGGCGCTATGGAGAGCAGCTCTAGCCTCTTAAGTGCTCTTCAAAATTCCAAGTGCTTCTTCATGTCTTGATATAAGCACAGCTGAAGGGATGAACCAATTGTTTTATAACATTATCAACGTGGTTTTCAACTTAAATATAATTACTATAAAGAGCTCGCTTAAAACAGTACGTGTCAATGTCTACGTGACTATTTTATTTTACCCTAGTTTTCAAAGGTTTTATCTTAATCCTCGGACGAACACGCAAATTCATACAACCACCGTGGCACAAGAGGGGGGGGATGGATGGAATCCCTCTCCCGTGTTTTTGATATGTTGCAGTATTTGGAACAATTTTACCTTTAGTGGGAAGCCTTTGATCTTCTTAACAAGACTGCAGGTATATTTCATGGGTGGTGGCGCTGCTGGAGGCCTGTGACGTCACCAACAATGGTCTCCATCTTGGCTGCCATCTTGGATTTTACCAAGAATTAGAAATCAGGTTAAAACCGCCGGAAATAGTAATTTTTGTGATGGCATGATTTTATTTTTGAAAAAAGTTGAAAAAACATGTACTTTCACCCAAAATTGGCGTAACCAGCTGTACTTTTGACGTCATATCTCGTAACCATAGCACCTGACCATCACTAAACTTGTCTCAAAATTTGCGCGAGGGATGAACGAATAGCTACTGAAAATGTCAGGTGCTGATGTTTTATCCTCTAAGAAAAAACTCAGCAAAACCTTTTTTTTGGGGGGGGGGGTGGCATCCACCCCCCCCCCCTCTTGTAAAGTTTTACGGTTCTTTTTGAGGCCGAAAACTACTAATTCGTACTCCAGCGAAAAATGTTTTTTGAAGACCTTTGAACTGTAAGACTGAGTTTGCAAAGAATGTCGCACACGCGCAGCTGACAACACTCGCCTCATTGCCCCCACAAACTGTTCTATCTGTTAGCAAATTTAGATTACATTGTGAAGCACTCGAGTTATTAGTCTGTTGAGGTGTTATCAGCGTGCTCAGTAGCCTGAAGCAGACTTGATTATATAGGCTATTATAAGCTACGCTATAAAAAATTAATGATAATACCCGCTATTAGTCTTGACATTGCAAAACTGACACGAGCAAAATACCTTCCTTAATCGACTAAGGATAAAGTGCGACGTTCCTCCTCGAGTATTCTTGTTTGTCACTCAGAATAAACCTGGTAGCCCTGTATACTACAGCTAGCAGTGAGGCATTTATATATAATCACCCCGCTGTTTGTTTTTCAAAGTCAGTATTTTCAGCCCATAAAAACCCTGCATTTTTTGTTATAGCTACTTCTATTCTTAGGCGCCTTAAATTCGCGGTGCTATTGTTTCTATGCTTTCTATGTTATGTTTTTCAGTAGTGTAACGGCTTTTGTTAAGCGGCCGTTGAACAAGAAAACTTAGGTTGTTTTCCATATGCATTTTCATGGGCAAACCGGTCCGTTCACGGTTTGGAAAAGTGGTAAGCAAAATTCAGATAGGCGATTTGGTAAATTTCGTCCCGGAATCGCGTTTACTATTTGCACAAATTAGTTCCATTCACCGAAAAACGGCCGCGAAAGCATTAAACTGATATCAAAGGTGGCTTTGAAGAAATGGAACAAGAATTTCCGTGAAACATTCCGTCTGGAAAAACAGGACTACCTTTTCAGGTGTTCCATTACCGGAAATTTTCCGCCGGAAAATGTAAATGGTAAGCACCCTCACCGGTCGGAGAGAATGATAGAACGCGGAGTTTGCTGTGCACTGTAAGTTGTGTCGGATATATTAGGGAGCTCAAGCATCAACGAAAGAAAAAAAAAACTGAAAGTGGTTTCACTTGGCCCAATAAAAGGTCAGGTGATAGTGAACGCCAAAAAAATCATATGAAGCAATTAAAGATGTACTTAGCAAGGTTGTCATGCCGAAGCTATAATTTGTGTTATATTGTAAGCTTAAAACGTTAGACCATCCGCCGCTATTTTTGGAGGAATTAAAAAGAAGTGATCAGCGCCTCAATTTTTTTAAGCTTCATAGGAATGGAAGGGAACGGCAAAACGAAAGGTGTTTTCATTAATCCAAGCTACGAACACTCTTTTGTATACCCTATTATGCAAACCTCTATATACCTTCCGTCTTTCCGTGACATAGGGAAGAGAGAAAAAATTTAGTACTCTTTAAGATAATTGCATGCGATCCTCTTCATCTTTAATTCTTGCGAAAGTTTTGAATAAACATATAATTCCAACATTTAGTTGACTTTTTTACCCAATTTCAACCCTAAGGCTTATATCTGAATCCTACAATTTTGTGTTTATATAAATACAGATGGAGACACAGCAGACGCAAGTAAAGTTAAATACAATGAGCCCAGGATATCACCATTAAAAAAATGGTTAACTAATTCGAAGAACAGCGAAGCCCTCTCAATGTTTCTTTCACAGCTTGCCTTACTTCTCTGATCTTCCAACAGTACAGCAAGGGGTTTAATGACGAGTTTAAGAAAACCACGGTGATTGTAAATTGCCTAGTGAGGTACATGGATATAGGGAATCCTCTATGGGGCGTTAAAGCTAGCACTATAGCCGCTGGAAGATAACAAACAACCAATGTTACCTGCACCCACAGTGCACTGTACACCGCCTTTCTGTATCGAGCTATGTTCACTGGAATTGCTTGGTTTGGTTGCCTTTGGAAAGTGGGGGTTTTAACATGAATTCGGTTATGGCGAAGGATGAAGAAAATTCTTGCGTACGCGAAAAATGTGATGGAAAGACACAGAGCTGTACCTGTGTATTGATACCATGCGGTTATAACAGGATTCAAAAACCATGATGATGCGACGACGATGGAACAGATCCACAAGCCAATTAAAGTTATACAAGTTCTTTTAAAAGTTACAACTTGTCTGTATCTGAGTCTCAGCGACAAAGCGAGAAGTCTGTCCACGCTTATTGCGGTCATTGTCAAAAAGGACACTGAACACAAAATATAGCTTGCAGTTGCAAAAGACACTAGTACATAAAAGCAAACATCCCACCTCTCTCTTACTTCAGACATCAGGTACACAACGTACAAAGGCTCTGCAGTGATACCAACCAAGAGATCAGTTATCGCAAGGTTGCGAAAAAGGAGTTTGGACGGCGGATGAAGTGAAGTGTCCTTGTGCAGGGCAAGTAGGATCAGAGTGTTCTCCAGAAATGCAGTGACGGACAGAAAAGTATTTAGCACTGAAAGAAAGATAAGCTCGCTGTGTACTTTTCCTGTAAATTCTGCCTTGCAAAGCAGTTCACTGAACGTTTTTTGGCTGTTGTCTTGGGTAAAATTTGTGAGGTCCGCCATCCCTAATCTTCGCTGTAATTCAACTACGCGCAACTGAGCTGTATATTCAGTGGACATATATCGATGCTTTTATAGACTAGGCTAGTCAATTCGAATTGATTGCTTGGAGTGTATGAATAATTCACTTCCTCACTGCGAAATTGCTTTTTAATTATTATGAGCAAAAACCCTTAGAAACGTTTTTTTAACAAATGGTTCATGCGTCAGCGTGCGTAATTGTCGAGTACTATAAAGCACGCGGCGAGTTTGGAGAGCACGAAAGATATATAAGAATTGCCCGACCGAGAGCAACTCTAGCCTCTATTCTCTAACCTTCCAAGTGCTCCGTTCTCATTGATGTCGCCGTGGTCGTTATTTAGACAGTAGGGAGCCTATTATAAGCGCCGGAAGTAGATCTAGGAGTAGACGGCAATTCATCGTGAACGTTACGTTATTGCTCCTTTAAAGTTACAATTTTATAGCGTCTTGATGCGAAAACAGATAAATCAGGTTATATTAAGGCTTCTTTGACATAACATCGCCTGTAAGAGTGAGATTGTATTTTCGTTTGCGTGAGTGAAGCGCCTCTCTCTAATAAGCTATTAACATTACATCCACCTGTGTTAATTAAGCGGCCAAAGGGTAGGCAATATATATACACGTTTAGGCTGCGTGCAAAGGCTCTGCGGTGATACCAACCAAGAGATCAGTTATCGCACGGTTGCGAAAAAGGAGTTTGGACGGCGGATGAAGTGAAGTGTCCTTGTGCAGGGCAACTAGGATCAGTGTGTTCTCCAGAAATGCAGTGATGGACAGAAAAGTATTTAGCACTAAAAGAAAGATGAGCTCGTTGTGTACTTTTTCTGTAAATTCTGCCTTTCAACGCAGTTCACTGATCGTTTTCTTGCTGTTGTCTTCGGTAAAATTTGTGAGCTCTGCCATCCCTTATCTTCGCTGCCGGTATAAGGAGAGATTTTCCATGAATTCTTTATTTGCCTCGAATTTCATATATAGCTTTCAAATATTTGCTTTGACGTTGTTTTTAGTAATTCATACTGAATTTGCATAAAGAGGTTTTAGCTCCGCAAAAAGGCTCGTGCCATTTTATTGTCCTTTGTTTCATTTGCTTTGTGTTCGCTAAGTAATAATCATAGAAAAGCCAACAATGTTCCTTAACAAACAAAACTAATTGCTTGTTCTTTTTTCCATTATACACATTTTACTTCAAAGTTGACTCTTACAACTGAATGAAAAGAATACCTAGTTTCTGAGCAATGGCTATTAACTTTAGTTTATCTTTTAATTTTTGCTAAAAGCCTTTCTTTTTATTCCGCACGACATCCGTTGACATTAGCACCTTTTTACAGATGTATCTCGTATTTAATAATTGCATTTTACCTATATGTATTTGCGAATATAACGTTCATTAGTCTGTTGGTTAAATATCGGCAACAGCTGAGTTTGGGATGTGAAAGGTTTTGCTGACTTGAAAATTCGAAATATATTTGTGTTGCTTTAAAACTAGGAAACTAGTAATTAGTCCGCGTTTCTTTCTGTTTGAACAGACGCTAGCTGACCTTGTAATTTCTCGAAATTTCATTCATATTGTATTATATTGAACATAAACGCTGTTTTGCTGACCTAGAGAACTTAGCTAGCTTTTGTTCCAGTACTTTTACTTTTTAAAAATAGCAACACTAACAAGCTATAGCTATCTCTTTTATTTGATTTTCATTTACTTCTCAGTGATTTCTGTTTACATATCTATTGTATTCGCTTGTTTTCAATGGTTATTCAAATCACATATAAGTAAGATGCTTTGCCAACTGATTTTTCGATTATATTGCTCACTACATTGCGGATTTCAGAGCTGATTACATTGCCGATTACATTTGTGAGCTAAGTTACGCTACCGGCAGAAGAATAAACGTTGCTGGAACCACAGTTCAGTTTGCCTTTGCTGTGCCAGTTAGTGGTTTGATCCCGGACCGGCTCAAGAGAAGTGACGGCTCTTTCCCGCAAGCGAGTTGCAATTGAGTCTAGTTTTTTTGGCCCCTAGTTAATCGAGAGTTAAAGCGCCGAGTTCCCGTTGAGTGTTCAAATCGTTCGAAAGTGGAAAAACTTTCTGTCACAGCTGTAATGCAACTATGTGCAATTGAGCTGTATATTCAGTGAACATATATCGATGCTTTTAGAGACTACGCTAGTCAATTCGAATTGATTGCTTGGAGTGTATGACTAATTCACTTCGCCACTGCTAAATTACTTTTCCATTATTATGAAAAGAAACCCTCAGAAACGTTTTTTTAACCCTTGGTTCATACGTCAGCGTGCGTAATTGTCGAGTGCTATGAAGCACGCGGCGAGATTGGAGAGAACGAAAGAGAAACAAGAATCGCTCGACGCTCGACCGAGAGCAACTCTAGCCTCTATTCTCTATTTTCCAATTGCCCATAATACACTCTTTTTGCCCCCCAAGTTCTGCATAAACCATTGTTTTTTAATGCTCCTGGGAGTATTGCATTTTCCCAAGAGCATTTTAAGACAATAAGCTATGCAAAATTTGGGGGGCAAACAGAGTGTATTATGGGCAACTGGAAAATAGTCAATTCTCCAAACTTCCAAGTGCTCCGTCGTCGTTACTTAGACAGTAGGGTGCTTAGCCCCAGATCTTACACAAGTTTCTTTATCACTGATATTTACAACAATCTAAAACAGTCTTTAGTGTCGTAGTTTTTTTTCGGGATAACATTGGAGTCGATGAAAAGTTGCGACATTTGAGACCTTTTGCTAGAACGAGCTTTTCCTTTCACAAGGTCTTTGATTGCAAACTTTTCAACTTTTATGGCGGTTTCTTGTCTGGCGTTTATCAGATTCAACTTCCCACCACACTGTGAAATTAACTAACACTGTATGCCCAGCACGGTTCCAAAGTCAAACAAACGACTATGCAAACTAGATTTCACTGGTAATTACTTACACTAAGAGGCCACGTGACCAATGCTTCCTTTAAACAATGACTTGGAATCCTGTTGATGACAAAATTGACAGAGCGCATAAAAATTATCTTACACCCAAAATCTGAGAGGAAACGCATTTAAGGGAGATATTTTATGGCACTTTGATTTTTCAACAAAGTAGTATGATTTGCATTGGCCGCCATGTTGGAGAGCATACTCTTGCCCTCCAACATGGCGGCCATAACTACTTTTTGCTTGTATATTGTTAGATGTTTGATAGTTACGCCCAGATGTGCTGTAAACGTTACCACATCATCTTTTCAACAATTTCCTTGAAGTCTAAGTGCAAAATTTCTGTTCAGAAAGATGTAATTCATAGTTTTAAAAATCACATTTTGGTGACGTGACCAGCTACGAACTTACTCATGTTAAGAAAATGGTGCGGGTTTGAAAAACTAAATCACTATTATTTTGTTTAAGTGATATGACCCACTAATGGTTTTAAGAAGGCAAGATCATATTACTTTCATTTTTATAAAAATGATGTCAAATGACGTCTTAGTGCAAATGGCCCATTAATACCCGGAGAATTATGCAAATAAGAGTATAATTTTACAATTATTAATGAATGAGGCTGAGCATCATATAAAGAATTATGCAGATCGAGAGGGGTCGGCCTCGATCAGGATAACAGCCTCCGAGGGGATTGGTATAATATTTATCAAAAGTTCTTAAAAGACGCACATTTTGAAAGAATCGAGCGTCATTATCACTCGAGAAAATGGCTAGTTCGCATGTCTTGATCTTTGCTCTGATGATTGGTCGCAACACTATAAACATTCCTGAAATGTTTCAAGTGTTCACTGTTTTGCCGGCTTGACTGTAACTAGGCCTGATAACTGTTAGTCTATAATAGGGACCTTAAGATCCGACGACGCGACGGCAACAAGAACGTCAAAAAAGCAATAGGTTTAATAACCACAACAATTTTGCCGAGCATCACGCTTTTTTGTACATTTCTATCACGTCACTGCACGACTACGACGTGAAAATACCTAATTTCACCTTTCACAGAGGAAGTACACAAGCGACGAAGAAATTTCTTCTCTCTTTCTGGACTTGGATATGGTTCTTAGCAATTCAACTTTAGGAGGGTTCACCCAAATTTGAAAAAGTTAGTGACTTGAAGTAATCGCGATGAAGATTGAAAGAACGCGAATTCACCTTTTCAGCGACGTTTACGTCGCCGTCGCCGCCCTCAGATCTTAAGGTCGCTACTAACATTGTTGGACGGGGGAGGGGAGGGTCAGTGTCTCAGATCCTGTCCACACAAATAAATACGTTTTCGAAAATATGAGTTTTCGTTGTCATCGAAAACGCATCGATTGATTCGCGTCCACACTACCGTTTTGAAGCATTTTCGGCTGTCCACGCTGACGTTCGGAAACGATAAAATTGCACGTTGTGAAGCAAGTTAACTATGGGCATGCTACAAACACACGCGCCTGTGATATTTTCGGTCATCGTTTTCATTTTGATGCGACCATTCACACTCATACGATATGTATGCCTATCCGTTTTGATCGATGCGTTTTCGATGAAAACGCCCAGTGTATTAGTGTGGACGCAAGGCCTAAACGCATCGAAATGTACGCGTTTTCAAACGAAAACGCATTGGTGTCGACGGGGCCTCAGTTACGTGAATTGGAAAAGTGGTAAATCTTACCAAGAGAGCATTGGAGATTACTTTGTGTTTCCCTGAAATGAACGCTTGCAGTAATTGTCTCAATGATCACTGCTCTGGTATAGATCTCCTGTCAGAGTAGCTGATTGTTTTATTTTGCTTGCACCAATGAAGCAGACTCAAAGGCCTAAAGTTTTAGGCCAGGTGAGGGGTTAGTTTGAGACGCGTGGGAGGTCATTGGAAGGGATGAAGCAAAAAACAGTTTCAAACTTGGTCAATCTTGTTTAGCAGCTACTGAAGTTGATTACATTTATTTTATTTTTACGATGGTAATACTTGGTAATACGAAAATTATCACTCGTTATGATTAAACATTTCTTCTGGTCTTGGCTAGCAACAGTTTCCAGCATATTTTAGCCCCAACACTTCTCAGTAATCAGTCCAACAAATTAAGGTCGCTGATTAAGTCGGCCCACACAAAATTATTGCAAACTTTGACCTGAGCTGGTTGTAGAGTTATAAGCCATTGCATTGTTTACATTGTTTAAAAATCCGCTTGAAGTAGCCATTGAATTAATAAAACTAAGTTAAACGTCGGTCAATTTTGAAAACAGTGTTTACAGTGTCTGTGACGGATAAATCTAACTTGAATTGGAACAGAAAAGTTTGCTTGCATTACTTTTCTGACTTTTCAATAGTAAAGCGATATGGATTTAATGAATTTAGGCAGGGGCACCCAACAAGAATATAGTTAAAAACCACTTAAACATAGCATTGTTAAACGTATTTTAGTATTTAAACGGTAGATATAGGCATATTTTTATCCCCTAAAAATTTTTGATCTGTTCCTATTTCCTAGCTGAAAGTCTAGTGATCCGAAAATTATAGGGATCCAAACTTACCTTTTCGAAAATTTCAGCCAGAAAAAAGGCTCCCGAAAATTCCAGGTGACCTTTTAAGGGTAAAAATCCGTTAAAAATGGGCAATTAAACATTTTTTAGATGTTCGAAAATCCTATGACAGCCAGGCGATTAAAAAAAGGAAATTTTACAACAAATGTTCCGAAAATTTTAGATCTGAAATCGTTTCCGAACAGATATTTTCCGAAAATTGATGTTGGGTGACCCTGTTTAGGTAAACTAAAAAATCCCTAAATCTCCTTGCAAGATAAATCGATACCGGCATCATTCGTTTAGGTGTCAAAGGCTACCGATACAAAATAAGGCAGGCAAACCAACCGATGTTATTTGTATTAACAATGAATTGTGCAGTGCCTTTTTGAATCGAGTTTTGTTCCGTGCCAGAATTTAGAATATAACCTTGTAACTCAATGACAAAACTTCCGTGCCCAGGAGTTTGTTAATTGTTTTATTAACTGAGTAAACAAGTTTCGCATTTTATCCTTTTCTAAAATTTAAATAATGTTCAGTATCTCCTCCAGCCGTGGGAGTGTCGATCAACATTATAAAACGCGAAAGACAGCCCCCAGAAAAAAAAAAAATTGAAAGTGGTTTCACTTGACCCAATAAAAGGTCAGGTGATAGTGAACGCCAAAAAAATCATATGAAGTAATTAAAGATGTACTTAGCAAGGTTGTCATGCCAAAGCTATTTTGTGTTATATTGTAAGCTTAAAAAGTTAGACCATCCCTCGCTATTTTTGGAGGAATTAAAAAGAAGTCATCAGCGCCTCAATTTTTTTAAGCTTCATAGGAATGGAACGGAACGGCAAAACGAAAGATGTTTTCATTAATCCAAGCTACGAACACTCTTTTGTATACCCTATTATGCAAACCTCTATATACCTTCCGTTTTTCCGTGACATAGAGAAGGGAGAAAAAATTTAGCACTCTTTAAGATAATTGCATGCGATCCTCTTCATCTTTAATTCTTGCGAAAGTTTTGAATAAACATATAATTCCAACATTTAGTTGACTTTTTTACCCAATTTCAACCCTAAGGCTTATATCTGAATCCTACAATTTTGTGTTTATATAAATACAGATGGAGACACAGGAGACGCAAGTAAAGTTAAATACAATGAGCCCAGGATATCACCATTAAAAAAATGGCTAACTAATTCGAAGAACAGCGAAGCCCTCTCAATGTTTCTTTCACAGCTTGCCTTACTTCTCTGATCTTCCAACAGTACAGCAAGGGGTTTAATGACGAGTTTAAGAAAACCAAGGAAATTGTAAATTGCTTATTGAGGTACGTGGATGTAGAGATTCCTCTTTGGGGCGTTAAAGCTACCACTATAGCCGCTGGAAGATAACAAACAACCAATGTTACCTGCACCCACAGTGCACTGTACACTGCCTTTCTGTATCGAGCTATGTTCATTGGAATTGCTTGGTTTAGTTGCCTTTGGAAAGTGGAGGTTTGAACATGAATTCGGTTGTGGCGAAGGATGAAGAAAATTTTTGTGTAAGCGAAAAATGTGATGAAAAGGCAGAGAGCTGTGCCTATGTATTGATACCATGCGGTTATAACAGGATTAAAAAACCATGATGATGCGCCGACGATGGAACAGATCCACAAGCCAATTAAAGTTATACAAGTTCTTTTAAAAGTTACAACTTGTCTGTATCTGAGCCCCATCGACAAAGCGAGAAGTCTGTCCACGCTTATTGCCGTCATTGTCAAAAAGGACACTGAACACAAAATATAGCTTGCACTTAAACCAGACAATAGTACATAAAAGCAAACATCCCACCTCTCTCTTACTTCAGACATCAGGTACACAACGTACAAGGGCTCTGCAGTGATACCAACGAAGAGATCAGTTATCGCAAGGTTGCGAAAAAGGAGTTTGGACGGCGGATGAAGCGAAGTGTCCTTGTGCAGGGCAACTAGGATCAGTGTGTTCTCCAGAAATGCGGTAATGGACAGAAAAGTATTTAGCACTGAAAGAAAGATAAGCTCGCTGTGTACTTTTCCCGTAAATTCTGCCTTGCAACGTAGTTCACTGAGCGTTTTCAGGCTGTTGTCTTCGGTAAAATTTGTGAGCTCTGCCATCCCTTATCTTCGCTGTAATGCAACTGCGTGCAACTGAGCTGTATATTCAACGAATATTTATCCGTGCTTTTATAGAATACGCTAATCAATTCGAATTGATTGCTTGGAGTGTAGGAATAATTCACTTTTCTACTGCGAAATTGCTTTTTAATTATTATGATCAGAAACCCTCAGAAATGTTTTTTTTAACAAATGGTTCATGCGTCAGCGTGCGTAATTGTCGAGTACTATAAAGCACGCGGCGAGTTTGGAGAGCACGAAAGATATAGTAATAAGAATTGCTTGAGGCTCGACCGAGAGCAACTCTAGCCTCTATTCTCCAAACTTCCAAGTGCTCCGTTCTCATTGATGTCGCTGTCGTCGTTATTTAGACAGTAAGGAGCCTATTATAAGCACCGGAAGTAGATCTAGGAGTAGACGGCAATTGATGGTGAACGTTACGGTATTGCTCCTTGAAAGTTACAGTTTCATAGCGTCTTGTTGAGAAAACAGATAAATCAGGTTATATTAGGGCTTCTTTGACATAACATCGCCTGTAAGAGTGAGATTGTATTTTCGTTTGCGTGAGTGAAGCGCCTCTTGGCTAATAAGCTATTAGCATTACAGCCACCTGTGTTAATTAAGCGGCCAAAGCCACTGCGCCATGTCAGCAAACATACATTTAGGGGCAAAAATATTATATTATATATTAAAAATATTTGGCTGCGGCTGCACTTGGCAAGTTAACCGTATTAGGTTTTGAAAAACTAAAACAGTTTTCAGAACGTAACCGGGTTATTTTTTTTCAGCGGCCGAACTCAATCATTCAATGTCGCGCGGTTTTGTTTTTTCACTCGCTTGGGTCGCTCATAACACTCGCCTCATAGTGACTGACAAAATTTGACCCCGCATTACTGATAAGAAGAGATCGACTTCTTAAAAGTCTTAACTCAATTGTGTTAAAAAGGAATAGCTGAACTTGGAGCTAAATATGTAATTTTTCGAAACTGTTGTGCTTGCGTGCATGGTAAAGCCAAAATTTGGACGATTCTCACGCGTAGGCGGAGATGGTCGAGTATATAGACTGATTGAAAACGTTAACCTGCGTTAAACTACCTCTTGCTTGATTTGCATAACCCGGTTAGAACTTGGTTAAGACTGTAAAAAACCCTGCCGCACTCGCAGTTTTTTTTAAACTAGAACTTTAATTATATAGTTAATTGGAAATAACTCGGTTAAGTCCCCTAGTGCGGCCGCCCCCATAATGAATTCAAAGGTATATTTGAGGCAAATAAGCAGGCTGTTTTTACGGTAAAAAGCTAACGCACTTCATCGAATTTGAAGAAAATGTGGCCAATTTAGCCTATGAAACTCGTCTGCGCAGAATAAAGACCCACGCAAATCAAATGTTCTCTTACCTCGAATTTTGCGCTCATTTTGAAGCTAATGGTCCGAATCGCTTTCATTTTCCCTTTAAAGAGGCTTCTGCCTCTCTAAGCGATCGGGTGCGTTCCACGCTCGATGCGCATTTCGAAAAAGTTATAAACCTCTCATACGCAAGGCTTTTCGGCCCTCGCTTCGCAAGGAATCATCGTATGATTAAATTAACCGTTCTAATTCTTTATCCTTTAAGACAAACTTAAGAGCGAGTGATGACACAGGTACACCAACCCACGGTCTAGCCGGTATCTCACGTATGCGCACAGCTATATCACACGGGCAGAGGCGGCCATGGACAGCTGTTTCGCTCTTATTAGGGCTCATCAGCATGGCATAGCCGTCAGAGCTATCAACAGACAACGCTGTGTATCAAAGCCCCCAGCTTTTACATGACTAGCAACAGCTTCCAGCTTATTTGAGTTTTATTTAATTGAAAATTCAATTTTGAGCACTCCCCTAGCGTTATAAATTTATCACGCTTACCACAATTTGACAAAAAATAATGGGGGTCGATCACTGGACTCGTTTTAGTGTTAGAAGCCCATAAAATTAAAATAGTTATGAACGTTATACTGTTGTTAAAGATGACTGGTTACATGAAAAATGTGATTATAACGTGTTAATTAATGATATGAAATTTGTTTCATGCCTTCATGAGGTATGCCACGGTTAAAATGAATGTTGCCTGAGTTAAACTGATTACAAGCTTATAATACTGACACAGGTTTTCTCGCCAAAGGAAAATTCATTCGTGGTAATATAGGGCAAAAGGTGTGGTTGGTGTTCTGGGTATAAACTGATAATTTGCCTCGGAATGCTTTCATCCACTACAGCGATATAACGTAGTTCGTTTAATTCATAACTCACTCTGGATCTAGCCAACTTATATTTGAATGTCAATTAAAATAGCTCTGCAATCTGTCAAATTAATTATCGGCGAATTAAATTAAACATAGAGGGCCCAGAATCGAACCTTGCGGAACACCGCATAATTAATTAGTTGAGTGAAACAGTGGGCATCTTTGTTGCGGAGCAAATATTTTTGTTAGCAATATCGATATTTGATGCCGTAAAGTAATAAGCATGTTTTTGGCCCTACATGATACTGATTACAGCCCTAGCTGATTAAAGTGACCATATATTGACTAGATTACTATGATAGTGAAAATTGCTTAGAGTAGTAAGAGAATAGAAAAGCGTCATCTCTTTGATCACATCTTGCCGCAGTCTTCAAAAGCTGAAAAATTGTGGAGTTCCAAGAGGAGCCGAGGAGGAGGAGTGTCTACTCTTAGAGTCCGTTTAACACAGGCGCAGTCAGGTGAACCTAAACAGAGGCATTGGTATTTAACACAGGAGCTCCGCTTTCAGGTGTAGCTAATTCTTTATCTTAGTAATTCTTAAACCTCGTGCAATAATAAGTAAACGATATATGGAAGAAAGATCTTTTTTTTTTCGTGGCGCGAAAATTATCAATGAACTCCGGTTTCAGTGTAGCTAATGCTGCAGGCAGAAAGTATACGGACTTTATGCCGCCTAACAAGAAATTTTCATCATTTCGATCATAACTTTTCTTATCATCACAGTGCTTTTAATGACGTTTCCTTAAAATTTGTTTTGTTATGTATATTTTCCTTGCATTTCAGGTAATTTAAAATTTAATTTTGAATTCTTCAATGTGAAGTATATTTTCAAGAAACAGAGCCTCAATATTAATTATCTTTGATGGGCTACATGGGCCACCCTGACGAAGAGCCAGTGCTCAAAACGTGTAACTCACTTTTCAATGCTTGACGGGTTGCCCCTTTACTTACCTGTCAACCCAGTGGATTAATATCCAATTTTTTTAATTAGTAATGGACCTCAGAACAAGTAGCGTCCAATCTGGCTCACATTTAGTGATTTTAGCTCACTGATATACCAATGTACATCCACCTCTTCGTCCGTTTATAGTGAGATACAGCTTCTACTTCGTGTCCAACTGAGAAGACTGAGATTAGTTTACTTGTTTTTCTTGTTCGACAGTTCTTTTGTATATAACGCACAATTTTAAAATTAAATGTAGAAGCAGCTGTTTAGAACCGTTTTAGTAAAACAAACCCGTCATGTTTAATAAAACACACAATACTTTCAGCGTGATTTATTTAATGTTCTGCGGAAATTTTCACCACACAGAAAATCCCCATATCCTCTTTGTTATTGCAGCGTTGTTTTCCTTTTTATTTCATGCAAATGAAAGCATAATATTGAAAACTCATCACAACTTTTAATACTGCAGGGGCACCCAACGAGAATATAGTTCAAAACCACTTAAACATAGCATTGTTAAACGTATTTTAGTATTTAAACGGTAGATATAAGCATATTTTTATCCCCTAAAAACTTTTCGTCTGTTCGGATTTCCTAGCTGAAAGTCTAGTGATCCGAAAATTATAGGGATAAAAACTTACCTTCTCGAAAATTTCAGCCAGGAAAAGGCTCCCGAAAATTCTAGGTGGCCTTTTTTAGGGTCAAAATCCATTAAAAATGGGTAATTATACCATTTTGTAGATGTTCGAAAATCCTAGGAGAGGCAGGCAAGCAAGAAATTTTACAACAAATGCTCCGAAAATTCTAGATCTCAAATCGTCTTCCGAACAGATATTTTCCCGAAAATTGCCGTTGGGTGCCCCTGATACTGTACGTCAACAATACTATTACCGTCATCGTGTAGGGTGAGAAAAAAAGACACTGAACCGAGACGGATTTTGTTCCTTTTAACTAAAAGGTAAGCTTTGAGGCAATATTATATAGGTAACAAAACAATATCTTATAAACGCTTCATCAGAGCCAGTTGTCCTTTTCTTAAGGACTAAGATTCGATATTAAGCTATGTACACACTGCATGTTAAATGCGTGTTCGAAAACCTCAGAAGCCCTTCGATTCGTTTTCAAAAGACTCCACTTTCGAGAAGGTTTTAGAAAACATTCGTTATCGTGCATTTTAGTTTATGAAGTTTTTAGTCGACGCATTCGATGCCAAAACGAAGAAAATGGGACTTAGATCCACAGAAATTGAAATCGACCTAAAAGTTCTCTAATTGTGCCTTTAACGGCCTGTCTTACTTCTCCAATCTGCCAATAATAAAGCAGTGGATTCAAGGAGGAGTTGAAGTAAACTAAAGTCGCTGTAAATATCCACGCACGGAAATCCGATAGGGACATCCCTCTTTGAGGTATTAAGGCTGCGCTTATAAAAAACGGCAGATAGCAAACAACCAATGCTACCTGCACCCACATTGCACTGTACACTGCCCTTCTGTATCGCGCTATGTTCAGTGGAATTGCTTGGCTCGGTTGTTCTTGAGAAACGTGATCTTGAACATGAACTTGGTTATAAATGAGGGTGCTGAAAATTTTGGTGTAAGAGAAAAATGTGGTGACGAGACACACAGCTGTTACTATGTATTGATACCACGTTGTTATAAGAGGATTCCAAAAAGAAGCAGATGAGCCAACAATAGAAAAAATCCAGAAGACTATCACAGTTACAAACGCTCTTGTTAGAGTGACATCCTGTCTGTATCTGAGCCCCAGCAACAGAGCGAGCAGTCTGTCAACGCTTATTGCAGTCACCGTAAGCAAAGACACAAAACATAAGACATAACCTGTGAATGTAGTTAACAAAAATGTGTAATCGCAAATATCCGATCTTTCGTTTACCACAGAAATGAAATAAGCGACTTGTAGAGGATCTGCAATGATACCAACACAGAGATCAGTTATCGCTAGGTTACGATACAGGAGTTTGGACGGTGGATGAAGTGAAGTTTCCTTGTGCAGAGCAACTAGGATCAAAGTGTTGCCCAGAAATGCTGAAATGGATAGGAAAATATTCACCACTGAAAGAAAGACCTGTTCGTTGTGTAGCCCTCTAGTAAATTCTGCCGAGCAAGATAGTTCTCTGAAAGTTTTCGAGATGGCTTTCAGATCAGTAAAATTTGTTAGATCTGCCATCTTCCTACGCTACGTAAGCCGTGCAAAAATCGTTATCTGTTATGACATATCACTGGTTATTATGAGGACCAGTATGTTATATTCGACCTGTCAGTCAAAAGGTCGCTAGGTGTGTAATAATTATCTCTGCAACGACTGATAGGCTGTTTTCATAGTTTAATTAAGGTTAACGCCGCGATACATGTAGCACCTAGTTTTGTTTTGATGCTGAGGATAAGAAATACAAAACATATTTACGCAATTTATTCAAAAGCTAACGTTTTTTAAACACTGGCTTACATGACATTCGTTCAACTTTATTGTATTCAAGCAGGTGTGCTCTGATTTTATATGGGCATTGTTTTCTTTCAGGTTACCTTAAAAACGGGAGAATTTCCTTTTAGTGTTTCTTGCGACTCACAGACGCATAACTTTGGTCAGTTTTATCAAGTAGATGAATTACTTGCAAAATTTACTTTCCATGGATAAATATATCAGCGTTGTTAACAGTGGACAACCAAATTTGACTTTAAAATTTTGGAGCAAATGTACTTGATAAGTTTGTTTTGGAGTTTTGAATAATAAAAATACTATATCGTGGCTTGTAAAGTATGGTGTAATTTTTTTATGATTTTCTGGTGAAGAGCAACGAGACCTGCTGTCAAACAAAGAATTAGAAATAACAACTATGCACAAAGCGAAAAAAAAATTAATTTGAAGTCACCCCTTTTAAGGTTACCGGATGCCCGCAGGACGTTTCGCGTCCAAGCGATGCAGTGCATTCTGATTAAACTGTAGATTAAACCATACATCAAAATTAAAGCTTACAGAGCTGGTTATGTAAATATACCGATCACTTTTAATAAAATTGAACTGTCTATTTTTCCATGAGTCCTATCAGGCCATTAAAAAGCTTAACCTCAAAACGATTTTCGAAGTAATTGCTATCGGTAATTTTATAAGTTCTCTTTTTTCCGACTCCGAACGCTGTTTAAAAGAAGTTACAGAACATTTTGGAAATTGGGCTAAAAAAATGAGATAATGGTTCCGAAAAGTAATGAATTTTTTAATTTCTCGTAAACGTTTGTGAAATAAAAAAATTACCTGACACTGAGGTGTTAAATAAACTACAGTATTTCCCTCCAATATTTAATCAAGGTCAATCGTTCAATTGAGGGTAAGGCTGATCGGACAGCTATGGGCAGGAAATTCATTTGCCAATATATTGGTCAGGCAAAACTAACTTTCATCTGGGGCTGAAACAAGTTCTCCTTGATCAAAACGTCACGTTTTCCCCATCAATATTCACTCTGCCACTTTTTTTTTTTTGCTAAATTTTTTATTGAATTAAAGACGAGTTTTACAATGTTACTTAAGAATAAACATTAATTAAATGAATATACAATTCTACTTAAAAAAAAAGAAAAAGGATAACAATAACAACGAAATTATATGTATATATTACAACAACCACGATAACAATAAAGATGCCTACTAATTTTAACGAACCTACGTGTATCAACTACTACAAAGTACATAAGTTAGCTTCTCCCACTTTTGATAATGAAAAAGAAGTTTATTTTTCTCCCTGGCGATATGGAGCTCAATATTGAAGACACGTCTTGCCCTAGCAATAAAACCTCTAATTGAAGGTACGCTATTATGACATCTCCTACAGTAGATATAATATTTAGCTAATAACAAAATATGATTAATTAGAATATAGTCGTCTACAATATCAAATTTTCCAAATATCACATCAGACTCATTAATTGCCTCAACATGAACATCATTATCTCTTAGCCAGGACAAGACATGCTTCCAAAACTCAGAAGATATCCTGCAGGAGAAGAGTAAATGCTCGACAGATTCCGCTGCTTCTTGACAGAAAGTGCAGTTTGGCGATTCCACTACACCAATTAAATTAAGTTTCACGTTTGTAAAGAGTATACAATTTAAAATTTTGTAATGAAATTCCCTGATCTTTGTGTCCAAAGTGCAATGAAAGGCAAAAGTGTAAGCCTTTTCCCAATCAATATCTATATTTGAGTACTTGTTTGATAATTTCTGTTTTGCGGTGGGCGCAATTTGCTTTTGCTGCAGAAAGATTTGATAGATCTGTTTAGGAGAGATATCAAGGATTGGCACTACATTACCACTCGGCAACTTAATAGTTGGGGTAATCGGTATGGGATTAGCTGATGTTACGTTTGTAGATGCTTTAATAAGCACTGGCAGACACGGAAAATTAAAATATTTAGGGAATAAATGAGAAATTTGTTGATGGCTGATATTTCCTCAAATATTGCTTGCAGAGCGCTAAACATTAAAGAGATTAGTTAGGCTAATGGAATTCCTGAAAAAGGCGTGGCTAATTTTTTACATTCATAATTTAACTCTTAAATTTGTTCTGCTCAGTAAGAAATCAACGTTTTCTGGTTTTCATTCAAACAATGTGACATCAGTCTTTACATTCCGTCTCAGTCCTTCGCGGATGTGGAAAGTTCGCTTCATTCTCGATTTTCTATTCGCGTTTCGCGGCCATTTTTCGCGCCTCGCGCTCCGCTTTTGTTTTGGTCGCTTATCTCAAATTCACCTGTTTGACAGTTCGCAACGTGGCCACAGCAACCCATTTATCCAGATAACAACTAAGCACGTTTAGCTATAAATCATGTGCACAACAACCAAGAAATTTGCTTTTATTTTATTTTTACAAAATTTCTGTACAATTTCACACCTCACAACTTGACTGTATTACAAGCATATGAATATAACACGACATACCAAGTTAAATTGGCGTTCTAGACAAGTACTACAAGAACTATAAGTACTTTAAGTCAAAGACTAGATAGAAATAATGTTTTTTCCAGCAAGGACGTTTTAAAATACTATTTACATCGTCCTGCGAGGAAATATTTCCACAGTCCATGATTGGAAAGAGGAACAACAGTTTATGACTTCACTTGCTCCTCTGTTTTCTCTGAACTGTCTTCTGCGGGGGTCTGGCATAAATGAAAAATGCAAGAAAGTTCGATTTATGCTGATGACAAGGAAATTAGAGACCTTCTTGAGGACGACTAAGACGACGAGATTTAATTTAAGGTTTTTTGGTGTCTTCTAAAAAAAAATAGACATCCCGGAAAGCTCCATTGTACATTTTTACCAGAATAGTTAGCGCGGTTATATTTATTGAAGGAGATTGAGCCCTCTCCCGATCGCAAGATGATAAAACTTCTAGGAGCTGGTAACTTTTTCCGCCACTACGCTAAGACCCGTAGAAGAATGACGATGACTATCGCGTTTTCCTGCCAAAATAGGGAGTTTTTAGCAACGACGTTTTAGAGTGACGAACGTCAAACGGAAGTTTACTTTTTGCACTCCTCGGCCGTAATTTTGAACAAATTATTAGGCAAATTGTCTCTATAAGAGTAAAGACACTCAGCAATACAAATGTGGCGGCGTGAAGGCATATTAAAAGAGAAGAAGTTTCACTTCCGGTTGACGTGCGTCGGCCAAAAACACCGCTGCTTAAAGACCCCAATGACGCTGGTTCACGCACGCGCACTACTTAGTTTCAAGAAAATCTCGTACTCTTAGTCGTCCTCGTCTAAGCTAAAGGTCGCTATTCTTACGCAGCAAACGACAACACAAAATACAATAAAGGGATGATTTCACGCACCTTACGAGTCCTTGCAACAGACAAAGGCTAGAAACTAATTAAAAAGCACTCTTACCTCATCGGTTTTTTTCGCGTCACTCTCTGCTTCTTGATATTCCTCATGAGTTACGCCCTCCTGTGCTATGGCCTGTTTAACCTCCGCTAGAGCTGCATTCTTCTTGTTCTCTGCTTCTTCCAAAGCTTTTTTCTCAGCTTCAACAATTTTGAAGAACTCAGCTTCTGCCTTGGTGACCAGGTCTTCTCCTTCTTCCTCCTCGGCTTGTTCATGAGTTTCCTCTCTTAATTACAAAAGAAAAAAAAAATCCGTTTTACATAAGAGACCTTTACGTTGTAAGACGAAAGCGACTACAACAATGACTATGACTACGCGTGAACTCGCGTCATTTTGGCGGGAAAACGCGATCGCTGTCGTCATTCTTCTACGGGTTTTAAGGAAAATAGGGAGGTCATTTTTTTGAGAAGACGCGATAAAATCTTCAGATTAATCATGTCCTCGTGGTCTTCCTCGTCCTCAAATCTATGCGCCCGTAACTACAAAACTACAAAACACAGCAAGAAAAGACAGAATAGTAATAAATTCGCACTGAGAGCCCCCACTCCCAAACGCCCCAAGGTTGGGAAGAGTTATGGGAAGAGGCGAGCCCGGTGACGAGAAGGAGCGGAAGCTAAAGGCGCTAGAGTGTGCCATCGCTGCGGGGAGGTTGGTGGGGCGTCAAACTAGGTGCCTGGTGTCCGTTTTCACGAAGAGAGTCAATAAACAGCATGAAACAGGCCAATTTATACTAAAACCATAAACATATGCAAAACAAGTTCCCCAGCGGATCCACAGATGCGCCAGAATTTAAATGCACGGGTCCCACGAGCACAGGGAGCGTTTGTGCGTGACGGCCCCCAGTTAGAATACTCAACTTTCATGGGTAGTTCTTCGCATTATTCGGACTCTTTCAGGAAAAATGTTTTTTCAAGTAGTTTTATATGAATCTCTATATAATTGCGTACGCAGTGTATAACAGTGCTTAAAAGCTCCGTTCAGTTCGACGATTTATGCTGATTTGCTGGTTCTAAAACTCACTTAAAAACCAATTCATCCAAGCGTTACGTGATATTCCGTGAAGCAACTTTGATGAGCTAGTACAAATGCCAGTTCAACTGCTAGGATTTCTTCACATGATCGGGGTAACCATAAGGCCCCTAGCTGAAAAGAAGAATCTTCTTTTGGCTTGTGTTTACACCGAAAAGTTTAACCCCGTTACAGCGACGAAATTATGCAAGTGATAGCATACAGGAAAGTATTGTCATGCATGTGTCTTTGAAGTAGTTCTAGAAGTTTGTTTACCATTACTTTATACTTTGACGATACCAAAAAGACCATTATAACGTCTTAATAACTACGGATAACTAAAGGATAACGTCTTTACGACAAACTTACTTGTCTTGTGAGCTCTTAGACCTCTCCTTTAATCGCATCTCACGATGTCTTGTTTCCAAAATCTTTTCTCTTTTTGTTTCTCTTTCAAACATCTGAAACAAGACGCAAGCGGAATCGAACTTCTCTGACTGTGGTAATATAGGCGCATTATCCATGTTTGAAACTTACCCGAAACTTTTAAAATGGCAAAGATGAAATGTTCATCTTTATACGAAAGAGGGACTGAGAAAATAAATTAAGTCACGACGACAAATTTCACGACCTCAAAATTTGTGTTGCACGAAAAAAAAGTATATTTGTATAAGCGCACAGAGAGCCTTTAAAGTCAGTCGACGACTTTTTCTTGCAACAAGACTCCACATCCCCACCTTAACCCTTCGACGACTGCTTTGGTCGTTGTCGTTCCATGTGGAACGACGCACATCTTCCTTCCTGGACACATTTTGCTCTCAGTTTAAGAACAACGTTTAACAGAGTCAGCCTTGATAGATCTTTCTAGCGATACCTCGTTTTGGATATTCTGACAATTATTCTGACCAATCCTGACAGAGTTACACTCACAAAAAAGGTAACATTTTGGGGAAAAATCCACTGCCAATTTCGCTGTTCACATATACTACTCTTTGAAAATAAATTTTGGCTTTTGCACATGCGTTAAAAACAAAAAAAACCCTGTTTAATTACGTCAGATTAGTCGGAAAATATGCCTTTTTTCTTGCAAAACTTGTTTTCAGCCATTCTTATGCTTATTAGCCGAAAACCAGTCCAAAGAGGAACTGGAGAAGAATGGGGTTTTTTCGCTAATCGCCGACCGTCATAAAAGGGTTAAACGTCCTTTAAGCGTTTTTTTCCATGGCTGTAACAGTGAAAGATACATGTAGCTGTATAACATTAAGTGGAAGCTTCAGTTCTTACCGCGGTAACCGAAGCCTTCTCATTTCTCTGAATGTTACAAAGCCCATCAGACAACTCGAGTAGTGTGACTGTGCCAGAGTGCGAGCCACAGGCCACCAGCCTTCCTTGCTCTTGAACACGGAGTGCATTTAGGGATTCGTCACAAACCTACAGGGGCAAATCACAAAGTCGCTGATGAACATGCAGATAAAGGACTGAGAAGACAAGTGCTTGACTGAGTGCCAAGACGAGGATTGAACTGGTTTGTTACGATGTTTGACTATCCAGTCAGAGAATGTTTGAAAGGTGAAAAATATTCACTGAGATTGATACTAAGCCAAAACGCTTCGACAAGGATGCTTGTTAATCTTCTTGTAGACTTTCTAAAAGTCAATATTTTTTTTCCTGGTTGGTTATGCCATTTTAACCTCAAGACTTCGTCGCTCGCTCGGTCGTTGGGCGACCTCATGCATTGAAGCTCGCTTCGCTCACTTTTAACAACTTATGAGAGGTTGACTTGCAGCAAGTCTAATTTTCTTGTAGAACAATGCACTGTTGACAGTCCCCTAAAGGTCATTTGCATGATGAAGTCATTTCACGGCACCATTACTAGCAGAAACCTTCAGTGTTTTACTTTCTTGTAAATGTAGGGACCTCACTGGGATTACCAAATTTTAGACTGCTCACAGTCCTTTATTTTTCCGTTAGATCGTTGAGATCGAAGACTTTGCGTTACGGACGGCCATCTTGGATGAGTGTCAAAACTACTTAGGGGACGGGGGACGGTTTGGGAGGAAGAGAGAAAAAATAGAGGCACTGTCCAAGCATCACTGCAGCTCGCGTTCTGGGGGCGTGAGGGGAATTTCACGCCTTTTACCATTCATTACTTAACAAACTCCATACCAAAACTCCTTCTTCCGACGACTTGTGGGTGTCGGCAACTTTAAATTAAACCCGTTGTCAACGCAAATTAACATCTTTTGTCTAATGACCAATCAAAATGAAATGATTGCGTTGCTGGAACTACGCGCCGTGAACGCGAGCTGCAGTGATGTTTCATATGTCGGTACATATGAAACCAGGATGGCCGCCCGTATTGTTAAGCGCTCGGTCCTGACGATCTTGCGAAAAAACAGGGGACTGTGAACAGTCTAGCCAAATTTAGATATGAAAGGAAAAACGAAATGGATTGTGGAAGTGTTAGTATTTGCCATCGTGCAAATATCCTTTCCTTACTACAACGGGCATACATCTTAGTTTTGAAACCAAGAAAGCGATAATCTTACGGAAACAAAAGAGACTATCAACAGTCTGGTATAACAAAAATATCATGAATTCATTGTTAACTACCTGGATGCTGAGTGTAGGGTCATTCTGTTTGAAGAGGTAATCCCATACATCTAGTGTACCGTCCATCTTGGTGGTGAAAAACACTGCCGGCCGCACAGGACTCCAACATCCGTCAGTCATATAAGACATATGTTGCCTGAAGGTAAAAGGGGGTAACTTAAGCCAAAATTGATCAGTAACAATGCCAAATTTCATGTTTGAAATAGCGACAAGGGAATGACCACAAGAAAATAAAGTACTGCACATTAGCTTTCAGTTGAGTGGTTACTCAAAAGCATTTCACCCACACGCTCAAAATTTAGAACCACCTTGTACAGCATCATAAACAGTACCACAGGAAAGTACTGCTCAGTAGCTTTCATTTGAATGGTCACTCTTCAGGATTTCGCCCTCAGGCTCAAAAGTTAGAACCATCTTGTAAAGCATAATAAACGGTACCAAAGGAAGGAACCGCTCAGTAGCCTTCATTTGAATGGTTACACTACGTACTTTAGGATTTCATCCACAGAAAGAAAGAACAAACGCTTTATCCGGGAAAAAAGTCAGCCTTCGCAATTCAATTCAATTCAATTCAATTTTTATTATTCACACTTTATAAAATATTTATATTATATATAGTAAGGTAGGAATACACTAATAAAGGAAAAGAAGAAGGAAAAAAAAGAAAATTAATGGTTTGGGTAGAAGTGTACGGTGGTCAGGGGAGCTTAGCTTTATATGTCCTTTATATAACTGACTTGAAGAGGGGCACCCAACGACCGAATGTTTCCAAATACGTCAGAATAGTTTCAAATGGTTTTCTCTATGCTTTAGAAGCCATTTTGGTTAATTTAGAGCTACCGTAAAAACTGTTTATCTGATCAGATGTCTTACGGGAACTTTGACCGTCTCCAAAGTTTAAGGTGGCTTTTTCGTCGTATCTGAGACAGTTAGCTACCCTGATTGCTCTGGTCGAAAATTAGAGGACATGGGGTAGCCGTACTTTCATTAGAAGATTCTAGGGGACGGTTTGTCTTTATACCAAAACTTTCAGGAGACCTTTTCGTAACAATAATCGCAATATCTTGGTAACAAAATGTGAAAACCCCCGAAAAAGTAGGCAAGGGAATAGAAAATCTGCGAATATTTTAGATGAATGGAAAGGTTATCTACATATTTTAAGTCTTCCTCGACCTTTAGAAATTTCTAGGCAATATTTGTTCGTTCGAACAGCTAAAAGGTCGTTGGCTGCCCCTGACTTGAACAAGGTTTTTAGAAAAGAAGTGATATGAACATACTTAGTCCACATGATGGACGATTCCCTTAAATCTTCTGACCATATCTACAAAAGAAGGACATATATATGCAAAGGCCAGTGAACATATATCAGATTTACATAAAACACGTAACGTTTATATTTATCAACATCAACCCTCAGAACATCTCCCTGTATTCATGCGATCATCATACGTACATTTATACAATGAATGCATCACTGGGTCCAATGAAATTACAATCTACCATTCTCTCTGGGGCCACCGCAATAAAGTAACCTTAAACTCCGTTACGTAACTGCTAACACGCCGCGTATAGCCCCTGGCCATCCTATACGTGTATGCGGATGGCCCCAGAGAGAACACATCACTACCAGAGGTAATCATTGATTACGGATCCGCGTTCGTCACTTACGCAAACGAAATCGAGTCGAAAGGAGTCCAGTTTCCCGGCCGAGATGCCTCTGATAAAATTAATGGGGGCGGCTAATTTGCAGTCGCCCGTGATAGCTCGAAAATTTCTGCCTTAGTGCCACAGGAACACCAGATTAGGATGCGTTCTGACGAACGCGATAATTGAGGAGCTGGCCCGGGGGTTGGGGACGGGGTAGGGGGGAGTATACATATACAGGCTTGTTTTAACATTCGTTAGTGTCAGAGTCGAAGGGGCAGAAAGTTACGATGAAGTGGCAATGAAACCGTAATTGGAGTTCCCTATACTACTTTTGAGTAAACATTTCTTACATTTCAATAAAAACATAGGAGTCGAGGCAGAATAAACCAATGACAGTGCTCCTTCCCGCGAAGATTGGTTCATTCTTCCACTTTTATTTTGGGTTTTATTAGATAGTAAAACAGGAAGTCAGAAAAGAAATGAAAACGTTCTCGTGATTCTTTACGTTTCGTCTCCCACCCTAGGACTCTGCTTAAGAAGTACGCCGTTTGAATTTCGCTCCATACTCAGAGACCGGTGGGCAGTCAGCTACAAGCATGGGCGGAAGAGCTCCCAAGGTTTGTTGCTCTCTGATTGGGCAGAAAAACACAAACGTTTTCTGGCACCAGTGAGAAGCCAGAACGGCCGCGACCGTCTGGAACCGGTCTGGTAAAACAATGTTCCCAGGAGCGCATGCTTGAAAACTTTTGTCGCGCCTTTTCTTTCGACCCAATTGACTACCCTTAGGTCTCCGAGGATGATTTCACTGCGGAATACGACTACATTTATTGTGTACAGCTGCCCCCTCCCCTCAAACAAAATCGGGGAGAGGGACGTCTGTGTCGTACCGCCTCTCTCCCCGATTTCCTTTTTCGGGGAGGGGCTGCTGTACACACGCTACTACAATGATTGGCAGTTATATTGTTTTCATTAAAGTTTGACAAATTGTTGACCACCGAGAGAGGCCTGCATCGGTCTTGAAGACTGATGCAAAATGTGGTTGAATGGACAAAAAGACCCTTGCACGTTTTTTTTTCCCTTTAAGTTTTGATAATGACCAGTAAGCAAATATCAAACAACTCCTGGAGAACGCCTTAAAATTTGAAAACTTACCAAGTTGAAACGCGATACGTTAAAACCGAGCGAAGATATTGTTTCACAAATTACGAAATATGACACACCTGTAAACTTCGGAGACTTTCCGGTGCTATAGCTCAATATCACGTAGCCCGCTAGCAAGCTCTCCTATTTGGGCTAAGGAAGCGAGCCGCGCGAGAACGCGCGAGCGAGCGTGCCTCTCGCGCGTCTACTTTTCACAATATCCCCCAAAATATGGAGAGCTTGCTTGCAGGCTTCAAGTTCAAACTTGGCAATTTTACCAATTGTTAAGGCGTTTGTTTTAGCCGTGTTGACGGATTTTCGCTAACTAGTTCCAGTCAAAAGTTAGAAAAAACCATGGAAGGGCCTCATCAAAGGCCTGTGTACGTGTAAATCAGGAGAAAAAGACACAAAATCGCACCAAAATTCATAGTTTTACAGCCGTTTTTATGATCAACTGAGTTTGATTCCCTTTTTAGATCAAATATTAATAAACCTCCACAACGGCCACCTCTCTACAAGGGCCACTTTTTTTGTCGGGCAGTCCATACATTGACTCTTGTTTAAATCTCTCTACAATGGTCATCGTTGTTAAGAGGTTTAACCGTATACTAAATGACTAAGTGGAAAAAAAAATAAATGTTGATGAAAAAAGTACATTTTTTCAGCTTACCCTGGCAGTCCAGTCTCCTATGGTCAAGAAATTCTTCGGGAAGAACGGATTACGCTGCAATGCAAAGAGGATTTTTAAAATCAATCATATCAAGTTGATTGATTTGCGATTTAATGTAAATGAATTAGAGGGGGAAAGAAGTTGATTTAAGATCACTATCAAGTCAGATCGAAGTTGCTATCAATTCTTTTCATGCTGTTAAGATGGTTTTCTGTCAGAGCCAAGAGGCAATTTTGAACAGAAAAGGACAAAATTTAAAGCGATGACGATGTTAGCTTAGGGTTCGTTAGTATACGTTTTTACCTAGTATGGAAAGCATCAGGGTATATCAGTATTGAATGTTCACGCTGTACCGGATAGCTCTGGCGCGGACACGGAAACCACACTGGATAGAGCTTCGATCTGTTCACACATAAAAACGGTGATTTCGGCGCGATTTATGTAACGGAGCGAAGCAGCGCCGCGCCCATCTCTAATTAATAAAGTGGAGCGTCAAATATGGGTTAGGTTCTGTGCCACACTTTGGTGTAGTGTGAACAGGTATTCGGACCTCTGCGGAAGTAAATAAGTAGGAGTGAGGACTTGAATCTACTGAGACGGAAGTAAATATTCAGGAGTGAGGACTGGGTTTTAGCACCCCAATTCCTCTCGGCCAACCTCTCCGGCACGATGTTCGATGTGTGTGACCGGATAGCTTTTCGTGTCGGCACAGTTTTGTTGGTTTACGCCGGATTGTGTTTCTAAACTAGCTGGTTTAAACTTGCATAAATGCTGAGTTTTAAGATGGTATCTGTGATAGCGAGTTAAAATTATTTGACAACAATTTTTCAATGCACTATCGTATTGTTCTTTGGCGCCATTCCCGTCACGTAAAGATTCTTCTACTCACACCACCGCGTCTCAGGATAAGAGTCTTCAGGAAACGTGTTCCCTGCTTTTTATTACGGAAGCACATTGCATTCTAGTCTGAAATGTCATACGTCTCCATCCCCTAACCCGTGGGGGGCGCGATACAAGACGCAAACGCCATTTATGTGAGGTTCTCTTCGTCTCAGCTAAGAAAAGTCTTATTCATGAGTAGGTGCCTATGCATGCTCTGATTGTCCCGTCCTGACCCAGTTGACGGCTGGGTGATCAAGCCAAAGTGTTTGTATGAAGAAAAGTTGGCCCGGCTAGGAGAGTGACCCTACTATCACAAAAGAGTGCCACAACTAGGCACGTCAGCCTTCTAGACGAGCCTACTTTTTGTTTCTCATGTAAACAGTTCGCCACGTTTTGAATGGAAATGTATGAAAAGTTGAACCACCTTGGGTAGCTCGGGTAGGCAAGCAGTATCGGATCCAGGGGAGAGGCCCGGAGGGCCTCCCTCTCCTTATTTTTAGACCGCCCCCCCCCCCTCCCCCCTTATCTGAAGGTCTGGATCTGCCACTGACCAGTGACCCTTCCGAACGGGACAAATTTTCTCCATATAAACGGGTCCTTAGGTACACAAGAAAGTTGAGCACCTACCTGGACAGCATAAACAGGCCCGTAATGTTGTGAAAATGAGCACACGATCTTCTCTGATGGAGATTTAGCTTTCCGGTTACAGGAGAGCACAGATCCTTGCTCTGTTCCAACCATAAATTTGGTAGGCATGGTAGGTTCAAATTCCAGTGACACGCCTCCCTGTGGACGGGGATCTTTTTTGGGATTTGGACACAGTGAGAGGGATTCAGTTGGTTCACCCATTTTGCGTATGTCCCACCAAAGAACCTGCCCGTCTGTGCTGGTTGAGAAACACTCAGTACCTGGGAAGAAATTTTAGGATTGGATTAAAACAACGGTAGATTCAGAAAGAACACAGAGATGATGGTGATGACGTTGTTCAAGATGCTGATAGCAATGTTCATCTTTTGATTGTGATCACACGACGATTATGAAGGCAATAATAATGGTGGTAATGATGGTGATAATAACGATGGTGTTACTGAACGTAATTAACAATTATTGGACGAGGTTGGGCAAAATATCGTGATTTGTCCGTGGCGAGCAGATCAATTATTTGCCGAAGCCGAAGGCTGAGGCAAATAATTGATCTGCGAGACACTGACAAATCACGATATTTTGCGACAACCGAGTTCAAGAATTGTTTTATCATTTGATCACCGAGTTTGTTTTTTTTTAATGAATATCCTCAGGAAACGAAGCGCTCTGCCATTTTCACGCAAAGGCGATCGCAAGAAGGAGAAAAGCACGGTTTCCTTTACGCATGTGCACAATATAATTTGCAGCCAAACACAGTTGGACGGCATTGCGCATGAGCAGACCATTATTTGTAGGCAGTTTTTTTGCAGGTCACGTGGTGGGCTCTTGGCCAATGAAAAGAAAGAAAAATTTGCTTCGAATGATAATGAATACTTAAGCTCAAGCAACGACGACGGCGACGTCAACGAGAACGGCAAAAAATCAATAGGTTCAGATTGGCAAAACAACAACTTTGCACGTGCATCACGCTTTTTTGTACATTTTTTTGCCGTCACTGCACGACTACGACGTGAAAATGTCTAATTTCACGTTTTGTGGAGGTCGTGAACACAAGACAACGTTCGACGTTCCTTTCGTTTCAATTTCCTGACCTTTGATACATTCTTTTATTTCAACTCCAAAAAAACAATGATGGAATAAACGCGATAAAGTTTGAAGCAGCGCGATTTTACTTTTTTGAGTGACGTTTTTGTAGCCATCGCCGTCGTTGTTGCTTAAGCTCCCTAATATCCACTGTCCGTACTCACCTGTCTTGGACTGAAGGAATATCGTCTTGTAGATGGGATCCCTGTGGCTCTTCTCAATAGGTGTCATCTCCACTGGATGTGATCCCTTACGTGTATCCCAGAATCCTGTATGAGAGAAAACGACGACAGATACTCAAAAAATTAGCAATTCTGAGACACTATCCTTCCAACATGTGCCAACAAGCAAACCTTAACACAGCCCAACACCAAAGAACCTTGAGGAAATATTTTGAGTTTTTAAAGCAACGTACAATACTTATAAAAGTCAAAAATAGGACAAGTTATGTAAGAAATAGTTACCTAGCTGTCCATTGTAGCAGCCTCCCACCAGAATATGAGGATCTTTTGGATTGTACTCCAAGCAAACCAGGGGTGATACAGGCTTCAGGGCCAGCTCAGGTTTATTGGGATTCTCTGTAAGGAAACCAAGGTCAAACTTTATTCAAACATGATGATGATGGTGATGATGATGTGGGTGGAAGGTCCAAGTTACATCAGAATAATTACATAAGAACTAGTTATAGCTATCGCTATAAGTGCCAATGAGTAAAGATTTTACCTATATGCAAGCGCTGGGCAGTTCAATTTGTTAACATGTCATGAATTACCGTAATTTACCGTAATTTCACAAAGACGCACACGGCTCGTTGATTCTCTGTTCTGTATCACGTGTTCACTCTAAAAAATGCATTCTCTGTTCTGCATTACATCATATAAGTTACCTTACACTACCTTATGTTACACCTCTTCGAGATTCATTCTGCCTTGGAACTTTTGCGCACGGCTTTATAATTATTATGCTGCCGCCTCGCGGACTCACATCTTAGCGAGGCTGCTTGTTGGCAGTCAAAATAATTTAAAAATAAAATGGATTGTTTGCAGTGACCAAACTAAGTAGCTTGAGATTTTCAGATTACTGATAATCGCAGTAAAACAAATATACATGTAATGTAAAGAACTGTTACATTCACTTAAAGGGTTTATTAAAGCAGCACTAGCATAATTGTAAGTAACTTAGAATATTCAAAGAATGGTGATGTACCACTTGAACACACAGTATGCAAGCAGTCTCTTATTTTTCTTTTGAATCACAGTGGATTGAGAGCGTACGTGAGGGGTGAGTGGCAAAGCTGCATAAAGTGGCAGTATGACACATTGTGAAAGAAACATTGGGGCTCTGGAAACCATTGATGGCTCCTGGCAATCAAACTTTTTCCTTTGAGTAACGAGAAAAGCTTTGATTTAACACAAAAAATATCAAATGCTGGGAGCCCTTGATATCTTGAGTTCAGAGGTTTTTGGGCTGGTGCCTTTAATTTTCCTAGAGTACAGTATTGTTATACTGTGTGAATACAAGATCAGTTTAATAACCATAAGGTTCCAAGAAAATTGAAGCTTAGCTACAATGACATGTTTTTAACAATAAAACTTGAAAAGAGTTCCTGAAGTGCTGCCTTACCAATATCCCAGATGTATGACTCCATGCAGGTTTCTCCTGCAAACTGTTGAAACTCTAAAATGGAATAAGCTACAGCCAGTTTCCTAGAACTTTCCGGGTACCATGACAGACTGGTAGCTGTACGTTTCATCTCATTAGGATCCCTAAAAGCAAATCAATACTCATGTAACCTCATTTTGTAAGGGGTTTTATGAGGGCTTATAAACGGAGGGGCTTATATATCCGAGGGGGGCTTATACTATAACCTTGAAACAAGCTAAACAATGGCAGTGCTTATCAAAATATGTTTTGCATTTTAATGCTGGTTTTTAATTAGGCATTAAACTCTCATAATAAATCAAATTTATTAATTTCAATACAAGCTAGAGGGGGGAGCAGGGCTTTTAATCAGAGTTATTATTTGTGTACAGGTAGTATAGATGGGCCTACAACTGGGGGGGGGAGGTTTATACCCTGTAATTGCAGGGGGTAGGAGCTTATAAGCAGCAGGTTATGCTATGTATAGATAGTAGAAACCGGAAACTTCACTTCCCATCTAGAATTCCTTCTAAATGTACTTCACCATAAAATAATATACGCACATGAGACAAAAAAACAGAGTCAAGTTATAGTAGGTCTACTTCACTATTTGTGCTAATCATCAAGCAATTTACATTCTGCTGTATAACACATGTACATGTAATAGTCATTGTACATTTCAAAGTTAAAAGGGCTAAATAGTTTTCAATGGGCAACCTGAACACATTGATGGTTTTGGCAGATGGTGGCTCTCCCGAAGTGTCAATGTCAATCTCAGCAAAGTACTCCTCATAGATGTCAATTGCATTGTTCTGCTTGATGCAATGTTCCATAACCTATTTAAGCAAAAGAAGGAACCCAGAACAGGTGACTCTCCTATCTACGAGGTTATATTATTGTAAAAGTCAGCTTCAGTTGTGAAAAGAGAGCCTGAAAAATTTTACTCTTTTTTTTCAAGGTTTACTTTTGCAACTGCATAAGTTGTGTCATCTGCAAATGTGATCTACCTTGCATTTAGTCAATGTTCATTCCACAGTGTTGCAATATATGAAATTCATACATTCATTGTTTTTTCACATCTTTAACGATAAGTAAACGTTTTGAACAATTTAACAGTTTAGTGAAGATGGAATCAAGGGCAAGTAATTACTGAGTCAAAAGCCAGTGAAAAATTTGTTTGATCTGCCTGACATGAATATTATTAATAATAATTATTATCATGAAATATTACCAATAGTTGTGCATTAGCGAGCTAATGTTTTGTTTTCCCTTCCTCATATTAGAGTGTTAAATACATCTTTTTCAAATGCTTTTCTTCTTAACCCATTTGCCCCGGAGCCGCCCGTAACCGCCCGTGCGGATCCAGGTCCTTTCTACCCTTTGTGACGTCATCAGTTTTAACGGTCAAGGACAACTTTCTTCGCTAACTTGTGCAGAGTGAAGAGATCTTTCAAACCATACCAGAATGAGCACAATTCAGTCAAGGACACCGGAGAAAGAAGCAAAAAACCACGTGACAAGAACCTGAAAATCTCCATGAAAATCTTGTTCCATTACCCACCTACCTTTCCTTTCACCTAATCCTAATATCCTAAAAGCTTTCCTAAAAACTCTTCCCACCAAAATGAAGCCTACTAAATGCCCAGCAAGAGAAAAAAAAATGAGGCAAGAAAAGCGAAAAAAGAAGGGAGGAGAGAAAGCGAAAAGTAAAAGTCAAGACTGCTGTGTCACTTTTAAACCCAAAAACTATGTCGATATTTTGCTTTCTGCGCATGCCCGAACTTCGCAAGCTAATATTTTGCATCTGGATCAGACGGCCGCCAAGTGTACGACCTGTAAACCGGTTTGTGGTAAGTTTTAGCTCTTTATAGCATGACAGTGACCAGAAAACCACTCGACCAGCTTCAAAACGCGTTTTTCGGCAAAATCTCCAGGAGCGAATGGGTTAAGATTATAATTTTGCAATCAGTTAATCGCTTCATATTTATTTAAAAACTGATGAATCTCTCTTGCTTTCTAGCTTTTTGTTACCTTAATTAAATTGCAGTTATTTTCTTTTCGTATCATTCCCGGCTCGCCTAGACTAGCTATAGCTATTTGCAGTGCCAGGACGCTTGTAAAAATATTCTTTAGAAAATATATTATAAAGTCTTGAAATCTTGAAGCTGTCAATGGCAGTGTAAATTAAACCAGTGTCATATATGGACTACCAGTATAATATACTGGTAGTCCATATATGACCATGTCCATATATGACACATATTATGTACTAATCACTTACACTTGAAAGTTGTTGTATGGTGTTCATGTAATTTTCATCCTTTTCCACTTTCTTTCTGTATCTGATTGTCTGTTCTACTTCAGCAGCATTGACATCCTTGGGCCATCCTCCCTCTACATGATTTATACCTCGACTTTCTGTTTCAAATCTCTCAGTATTCACCTGTTGTGTAGTACAAAGATTGCACTTTTAGTAACAGACTGACATGACATTTTCACATGTCTAAAAGTTTTAAGCAAACAAAAGTCCACATTTTTACCATTATTATTGATATTAAGGGCATTTTGTTTCTTGATCAGTTATTCAATAATGAGCAACAGTTGTATCTGTTGTGCTAAATAGTTTGCCTCTTGCAAGCTGCTGTTTTTAACTGAGATGTGTTTTAGTGGCAGACATGCATGGATTATTCCTTTCTGATTGCCTTTTTTTCATGAGGTTAGTGACTGCAAAAACCACTCCACTCCACTACCCTCAGGGCATTTCAGGTATAATTCACAGATAGGGGACCTTGTTAGACTTGTTGTGGTTCAGTTTACAGTAATTTATTATTGTCAATTATTATCAAATTAAGTGGAGTTATGAACACCACCTGATGTGAAAAATTTAACCACAGTCACAGGATATCTTGGAAGGCAATTTTGTATTGGTAAAAAATTTACATTTTTTTTAACCCTGAACCATCCGTAACAACCTCCGTGTGACAGCCCCTGAATCTCTCATAAAATGGCGGCTCATATTCTTTCTCTCCCTCCTCCAACTGATTATTATTTTTAGTTCCTTTATTGTCCTAGAGACATACATATAGACAGGCAATAAACCAATCATTTTCCATCTTTTCCACAAAGTTTGACATGTGATGAGAACCTTGGGGTTGGGATTTCCCAGTGAGCATGAGAGATCACATTTCTCTAAACCAATGGCCGCTTCTTTTGAAATTGATCCTGAGGTTCCATCACTTTTTGGGGATGTGCCTGGGTTCAGAGAATAATTAAGAGATAGGGATGACAATTCAGATATAGATTTAGATGGCCTAAGGCTTTAACTCTGATCTATCATTATGATCATTGGCAGACCACCCTCTGTTCGTGTGCCCATTGTTGTTATTGAAATCTGAGCATCAGGCTTTTGTACTCATAAGAAGAAACACAGATGAGCATTATGGTGGCTACAATTTGTTCCAAAATACAGATTTAAACCGAAATGTGCAAGTGAAGTTCAAGCAAAATGTTGACTTAGTAGTCATCTGTCACATTTTTTTCACATTCCCGAGCTCTTTAAAGAGTTATTTTGCAAGATGATTACTTGACCAGTGGTTTAGAACTAAAGAAGGAGACCAGGCTGGCAGCAATCAGCCACCAGCGCATGATTTGGTGAATTGGACGAATCCCTCTGCCTGTGTTATGATTACAAAGCATATGGTGAAGGAAAAACTGTACTCAGGCTAAATCAGACTTTCCTTTAATTCCTAGGCTAGGAAATAAAGGAAACCCTGGATCAAACAAAATTGAATCCTGGTTTAACCTAACAATACATTTTATTGAGATGCATTGAGATTCTTACCTCATGTTCAGACATTTCTTGAACACACTGAATGCCAGTGTCGCAAGGATTTTTCTCAATATAATCCTGGAGAAGCTTGTCATCTGGAGCAATGTCAACGTGAAGCTCAGCTTGACGATCAGAAAAATTACACTGTCGTCCAAATTCACTTCTTTTCTTTGTGTACACGTACACAATCTCCATTTTGGTGAGTTATGTACAAACAATCTGAAATGATGGAGTGTCTCAGTTAGGTAAGTCTATAAAAATCAATATTTGATAAATTAAAGGCTATGAGTATCTGAAAGAAAAGCATACAATGAGCTTATTAATGTGCATCTCTAAAAGACATTTTAGGTTACACTGTAAGCCAAAATCTCCTTCACAATCAGCTGCGCAAATGAAATACCAAATGTAATTTACAACGCTAAAAAATCAAACAGATCTGCAACCAAAAGCCCTTCCTTTTTTCTGCTTAACTTTCATTATGCGTAAATATAATTCAACAGCAAACAGACAAACTAGATATAAGATCATGTTCATAAGCTGATCAAAATCAGGAGAGTGCTGACGAACAACAAGAAATAAACATAGGAGATTCGTAGAGATACCGTTTTTTGCTGCTTTAAAACGCGAGGTTGAAAAGATGAGAGGCCTAGCAGAATGTTTAAAATATACTTACCTTCTATTAACTTTGCAGAGAGCAAAAAAGTATATTGAAATCCTGGAGAAAAGAAACTGTTCAAAATGGCCGACCTTGTTGTCGCGCTTTTGCTTAGCAACCTGGGATGGCCTGGTTACATTCACAGGCTACCCAGGCAAGCAGTTGGTTACATCATCTTGGATGATATTTGGCCGGTCGTTGGTATTTTCAAATGCAATCTGTGCTTGATTTCGGGCCTGTTTTATTCGCTAGATCTTCAAAGTGTTGTCTTTGGTTTAGTTCAAAGCTGTTTTCATCGTCCAGTGGTTATCACAGCCGTTCTAATGTCGGACAAACCTCAGGGGAAATTGTGAAATGGATGGGAGAACACGCTCCCGTGTTTGGTGTGAACGGGGAAGATATTTCAGTTTTACACGAACCTAATCAATTTTTTACCTCTCTGAAGGTAAGATCTTTCAGTAAAATCAAAGTTTTCGCTTTTGAGTATTGTTTATTACTATGTTTTATTGCTTCTTGTCTAGGAAAATGTCAGCAAAGCCAAGCAGAGGATCATCTTGGCTTCACTATACCTGGGCACTGGGGAGAAAGAACAACAACTTGTAAGCGCTATCCTGTCTTAATAAGATGAATTTTAATATGTGTGTAGAAGAGAAAGCAGTCATTAATAAAACTTATAATGGAATGGTAACATCATCATCGCTTTTAATTTTATGTTCATGAACATAAACTTTTGCTCAAACCAAGGAACCTCTGTCCCCTTTGATTCTCTTTGTGTGAAACTTTTTGCAATCCTCCAGAGCCGAGTTAATGTTGCTGGAGGCCTGTTGACCTGTAGCCTCTAATCCTGGGTTAGCTGCAGATAGAGCATATGTGTTGTCATGATAACTATCACTGGATTTGCATTAATTACTTTTGAACAACTTGACCCAGTCAATTAATGAAACCAAGGTATATACTAGCTGAAAGTATTGGGTCGTTTCGTCGATTTGGGTGAATTGACTTTCAGGTGAAACGACCGCAATTTGTGCTGAATAAGACTGTGATTGGCAGCTGCTGACATTTCAACAACTTGTGTAAGAGTCATCATCAGACTTCTTAATATTAAGCGTCAATCACTGTCAAAAACCAAACTCTTTGCGACTGTACTCATTGGGATGATCACTTTCAATCTACTATTATTTTCATCAAATGTCAGGCACTATCAACAACAGAGCTATTTATGTCTGCACTCATCCGGATGATCATATACGGCCAAGGGGGCGATGGGCACCACTGGAATTGATTGATTCTTAATGCAAAAGGCCTATTAAGGCAATATATATATTTTTTGGTAGGTTGACAGTATTCATGATGCAGTGAAGAGATCCAAGGCCTCTGACCAGTTGTTGAGAGTTGAAGTCCTATTAGAGCACACCAGAGGATCTCGAGGAGAACACAACTCCAGAACCATGCTTCTTCCTCTAGTTCAAAACTTCAGTGATGTGGTCAAAGTTTCTTTATACCATTCACCAAGCCTGAGGGGACTGCTGAAGTTGCTTCTGCCAGAGCGCTTCAATGAAACGGTGGCTCTCACTCACTTGAAAGTGTACTTAACTGATGATACCATTATCATGAGTGGGTCAGTGATTAGCTTTGTTTCTTTTCTATCCTTACCCTGAGAAACCAGCCCACATTTTTTGACGCACTGCTGGTTTCCACGCGAAATGATGTCTGAGAAACAAGTGCAAGAATTCCATACTGATGACATGTCACTAGATGCCAGATCTGGGTAGTGCTTCTGATTGGTCGTGTCACATGGGAAATTTGCATTAACTATTAAATCAGAAGCACTACCCAGATCTGGGTAGTGACGCATTGTCAGTATGGAATTTCTGTACTAGTTTCTCGAAGTCATTTCCCTGGGAAACCAGTGGTGGTGTTCCAGAAGGTCGGCTGTCTTCTCGGGCTATCCTATCCTCCTCCTCTGTGGACATATTTCCTCTGCCCTCTTTATCTGCTCTTCCTCATTCCCCCTCTATTCTTCCCTTCTCTTTTCTTTTCCTCTCTCATTTCCTTCCTCTTTTTTCTCTTTCTCTTCCATCCTCCCCTCCACTCTTCTTTTTTACCCCTTCCCTCTTCTCTTATCCACTGACATATCATCCCCTCCCTTCTTCTCACCTTCCCTTTTCTTACCCTGTCCATTTCTTCTTCCCCTCCCCTCCCCTCTCCTCCCTTATCTCTCTCGGGCTGCTTTTAGCATATGGTGTACATTTGTTCTAATGGTATGTAACAGGTTACAAGTACATGATGTACCTCCCAGATGTTCCTTGCTTTCTAACTAGGATTCAATGCATAGATTCTAGAACAGTCGTGAGTGCACATTTTGTACATATTTGCTAGATCACTGGAAGAACTGTCCTCGTAATTTAAGAGATTAGTACATTTTATTTTAATTCAGCAGGTAAAAATCAGAGAATAATACTGACGGTCAGCAACTTTTTCTTCACAGAGCTAACTTAAGTGCTGATTACTTCACAAATCGTCAGGATCGATACATTGAAATCAAGAATTGTTCACCTTTGGCGGACTACTTCCATGGACTTGTGACAACTGTGCAATCGTTCTCTCTTCACCTTCAACCTGACAACACGACTGTAATGAGTAAGACTTTTCCCGTGCATCCAACAAAAGGATTTGATGGTGGTAAAAACTTCAAGTCTGAAGCTGGGAAAAGAGTGTCTGCATTTTTGAAAGAGCAACAAAGAAACAACACGCACAGTGATTTGAAAACGACAGTAAATAGTCAATTCGACACATGGGTGGTGCCTTTGGTGCAAATGTTCCCATTTGGAATTCGTCAGGACGAGTTTATTACATCAGAACTATTGAGCAATGCAACTCAAGATAGCAAGTTATTTTTGGCCTCTGGATATTTTAATTTAACAAGAAAATACATGGATATACTGTTGAAGTCCTCTGCGAAGTGTGAAATACTGACGTCACATCCAACGGTGAATGGTTTTTATGAAGCCAAAGGGGTCGCTGGTAAGTATTCATGTCACCCTTGTTCTAAACAACAACAACAATTGCGAAAACATTATATTGAGAAAACAGCCGACATTTGGAGACGCTACCACTGGTTTTCCCGCGAAATGACGTCTGAGAAACCAGCGCAGAAATTCCATACTGATGACGCGTCACTACCCAGATCTGGATAGTGCTTCTGATTGGTTGAAGCAAATTTCCCATGCGGCTGAGTGATCGTGCCGCGAGGGACATTTTCTTCAACCAATTAGAAGTGCTTCTCAGATCTGCGTATATAGTGACACGTCATCAGTGTGGAATTTCTGCGCTCGTTTCTCAGACGTCATTTTGGGGGGGAAAGTAGTGGCGGCATCGCAAAATGTCGGCTTTTTTCCCAGACTGAAAGATTGACAACATTGAGAGGATTATTGAGTTTAACTTTCGTAATTTAGATTGATCCCTGTTTCAAAAAGTGCAAGTAGTTTATTACAGTTGTCAACTCTGTTTGGTATTTCTGCCTGACGAAGTAATTCATTTGGCTGTAATGTTTAAAACTGACCAAAACGCTGGTGATAGGTCAAGTACTCCGCGGCCTTCTGTTCTAGATGCAAAACATTAGCAAAATTTCAGCTTCCGAAGTTCAGGGTTCGGGTATGCACAGAAAGCAAAACTTCAAGGTCTTAGGTTTTAAAAGTGACGCAGCAGTTTCAACTTTTACATTTCGCTTTCTCTTTCGCTTTTCCTTTTTTTTTTTTTGCTGGGCATTTTCTAGGCATCATTTTGGCGGGAAAAGTTTTTGGGAAAGCTTTTACGATCGTAGGATTAGATGAAGAAAGTTTTTTTTTAGGAATTTTCGGGTCAAGGTTACATTTTTTGCTACTTTCTCCGGACTTCTTGACTGAATCTACATCAGGTTTGAAAAATCTCTTCCCCCTTCTCAACTGCTCAAGTTAGATGACAAAGTTGTCCTTGACCCTTTAAACCGACGACGTCACAAGCGGTATGAAGAACGAGGTTACGGATGGTTCAGGAACGATTGGGTTAATACTCACGAAGTAACCGATTAACAACATTACCCCCAAGTACACGTAAAAACTAATAAGATTTTTGTAACAGCGGTATTTTTTACTTCCATTGTCTTTTCAGGAGGTATACCACATGCCTACACACTTTTAGCACGTGATTTCTATCGACTTACCAATCAATATAAGCAAACAGATCGCATCTGCCTTCAAGAATACGTGCGTAATGACTGGACCTTTCATGTCAAGGGGCTCTGGCACTACCCAGGAAATCGGACTTCACCAAATCTTACTCTGATTGGTTCTCCAAATTTTGGGCACCGTTCTGTGTACCGTGATTTAGAGGCCCAGGTTGCTATAGTAACAGACAACAAGGGGCTCAGTGAGGCACTCAATAAGGAGAAAACTCAGCTTTACCACAATGCACAGCGAGTCACTGATGAGACGTTCACTTTGCCCGAGCGTAAAACTCCGTTTTGGGTGTATTGTGCTACACGAATGATAAAGAATTTGCTCTGACAATGTAATTACTTATTTAAAATCAGTTGTAATAAAGTATTTTTTATTGTTGTATTTGAACTGTGTTTTGTTTTTCATTGCATTGTTATCCGAACGGAAGAAGTGGAAAAGAGTGTTTTACGTTAAGTTTGTCTTCAAAACAATAGGCCTACCTGGTTCAAACTTTATGCCATACAGCTGTAGCTTTGCCGAACTTAGTCTCCCAAGACAAAAGCGGTTGCGTTAGAGACGACGTTGGTTTTATGTGTGATCTAATTATGGAACATAATTTAGTCATGTTTGAGTCCAAAAGATATAAAATAATAGCTTACCACTGTGAATATTTTAGATTGTGCAATGAACTTCGCACAAGTCAAACACGCTGTTTGGCTCCTGCAATTTTGAGTACGAGTCAAGCGCTACAAAGCTTGTCGATCTTACATTTTTGCTCGGACATGTGACAGCTGATTCACACGTCATGCATTAAATAGTCGAACGCTATTTAGAAATCCTGCCCCATTTAGAATTTAAAATCACGTAAAATTTATACTGGTAAACTGGAAATGGCGGATTCAGGCTGAAAAATTCTCACTGTTCCAAATAATGATTATCGATGAACCGGACATCAAACGTGATTATAGATAAGAATTCCTTGTTCTTGTGGCAATTTGAGAACTGACTCTTAAAACTGCTTTCAATGAAGAAAATTTGCCGATGTCAGTAGCAAATAATGAATCAAGCCTATTTCTGGCTTCTCTCAGTTTGAACTTGGGTAGCCTATGAGTCCCCAGCCCTCCCCGGCCGACATTGGTATGGTATGTTAGCCATTTCTTTCACCTTCTTTTCCATGGGAAGTAAAACAGTAGCTTACTTGTAATCAACCTAGAGCTTGCAGGATAATACAGTAAACGTTTTAGGGTAATCAGTGCTCTCTAAAACATTTGAAGGCTAGCAGAGGAAATTTGTAGGGTAGGGTAAGTGCTTTTTGCAACTCCTCGACCCAGGTTCCCAGAGCATAAAAGGAATGAAAACAGACGAATGAAATGTTTTTATCAATGCGGTCAGAAAATGTGATCAAGTGAGTCTTTAGCGAACGAAACGATTGCAATCAGACAATATGGAGAGATTTTCCAACAGAAAACTTTCAGAGGACGATCTTCTAGGCTGTTGGGAGGTAAGCTAAGAAACGAATTTTAGCGCTGATAAAAAAGTAAGACGGAGAAATGAAACCAGTTCATTGTCACGGTCCAACAACACATAATAACATTCTTTCCTCTTTGTAGATTGTATCTTGTAAGTTAGCAGAAGAAAGATATCCGTCTGTGGAAGGGTAAGAGCTTTATATAACTCTTTAGAATATTATAGGTTTATGATAAATCCAGCATGGAGTCGTCTCTCTTTCATGATTATCATTAGTGAAATTATCAGACAAATATGCCGAGACATCAAGAGCTTGTTTACATAAGTTATGCATTTAGCTTATATTGGTGAGCATTTTATTGTTGAGGAGAGAAAAATCTGAACCAAGGATTAGATTTCCTTGCTAAGCCGGTTTTATTATTATTATTATTATTATTATTATTATTATTATTATTATTATTATTATTATTATTATTTCTATACTATTATGATCATCATCATCATCATCATTATTCATTAATTCACTCAAAAATTTAATATTTCACTGTTTGTGATTGAAGCTTAATTATTATTTATATTACTCGCTAGCACTTACTACATTCAAATGGTGTAGACTTCAATGTTATATTACTAGCAACCTCATTTCCAGGCAATAACCACTTCGGTTATACAGCGCTTTAGAGCGCAGCAGCCGAGCTGTTTATTCTTGGGTGAATTAAATAATTATGGCTTTTGCTGCTGTCCAAAGGCAAAGCTTAGTTTGAAGAACAAGCATTCAAAGCATGGTGGTGACTCTCCCACACTTAAAAGCTTAAACCAAGATAGCATTTTAAACCACAATGAATGACTTCTTAGCCTGCGAATGCAGACAGATTTTAGGTCGTCCCTTCCTCCACCAGAAAAGTTACTTACAGGTCGAGAGAAGAGACAACCGCGAATAGATCTGTGTTTGCAGGTTGATGACTTCTTCTCTTACAAACTGACTTCTACGTGTGTATTGTTGACAGTATAAAATTCCAGCTGGAGGAAGGAGGAGACTTGGTCTGGATGATGTCATCTGCCTTGGAGCAAGAGACTTTGCCTTTTTTCTCATGTGAAACATTCATGGTTTGTAATATTTTATTGTCCAGCTGATGGGGATCAATGACTGCTGTTTTTTAAATGTTTATTTGAATTCTCTGAAAGGATTTCAAAATTTTTTGGCAATTTTTAGTTTGACAGATTTGAAGAAGAGCTGATTTGTTATGGCAGCAGTGTTGATAGGATTGGATTGAAGGTTAGAGATTAGCATAATATAGTCAAACCTCTTGTAAGCAACCATCCAAAGTGCGAAGATTTAGTCGTCACTTAAAGGAGGTTGTCGTTTATAAGAACTGACAAAGAGGGGGTCTCTTCTGAAGAGAAGTCTGACGTATAATTTTTCGCTTATTAATTGCATGCAATTTCTAAGTTACATTATTCATATAGTTGCATGTGACACTGAAAGTTCTTAGTGTTATACTCTGAGTGGCATAGTACATACAGCGAACAGAGACCACATCACGCATTAAGTGGTTGCTTACAATAGGTTAAAAAAATGGAAAATAATAAAACCATGAGGCCAAAAAGTGGTCACAGTCACTTATGAGTCGAGGTGGTCATGAGTTTACGAGAGGTTCTGGATTATAAAAGGGATCTCACGTGACTGGGAAAATACATGGTGCTTTGGATAGGTGCAGGGGTTTCATTAAGAATTTAGTAGCAGGAGAAAGGTGTAATGTTACAGTGGCATATTTTGAAAGAGGCTCCATGTCTGAATAGAAATAATTATTAAGCCCTAGGCTACCGAACATTTGGCGGAAAATTGTGCTTAGCAGGCGAAGAATTCTCTGATCTCCGATGCCTTATGAACACCCCAGAGGTAGTCGCTTATGGGAGGTGGTTGCACATGGAGGTTCAACTGTATCTAAGTATAATACATATAATTTCATAAACATGCTTCACATGCCACTTGATATTATTTACATAGTTTTATATGTAGTGAATTGAAGTTCCTAATTTTTTAGCTCTGACATGAATGTTGCTTACTTATCCAGTGTATTCTATAATTTCAAATCTGCAACAAGTTTTATTGTTTAATTAATTTTTATCATTTTTGTATTTAATTTCAGTGTACATTTGAGTCAAATCAGCTGGTACTCCGTTATGACAAACATTTGAAGCTGTGCTGTCAAAAGGCAAGAAGGCTTTCTTTTTAATAGTTAGGGTATCAGGGCTCGAAAAACGTCCTGTTCAGTTGTCTGGAACAAGTAGATTTTTACTTGCTGGGCAAGTAACCTTGAAAATGTAGTTGCCAATGGGCAAAGGTCCGGGCACTTCATCCTCTAAAAAAATCTTCAACTAAGACAAGCAAGAAATGGCCCCAGGCTGAATGTGAGAGCTTCTCACTCTTGCCCAAAGGACAAGCTGAAATTCAAGTTTTTTTCGCAGAGCCCTGGGTATATTTGTACAGTCAGCTTAATGGAAATGGCTGCCATTAGGTGTCCATCTTAGAAATGGTTCACTTATAGAGAGTCAAAGAAAATGTCTACAGCATTTCAGGGACCAACTCTAGTGGTCTGTGATAGGGAGGTACCTGGTGTTCTTAATATGTTAAAGATATATATAGGGTTGTCTGGAAAGAGAGAGTTCAGGCCTTCTGATGGGGTGTAAATATATTGGGAAATTTGCAAAATTCTAAATAAATGTGTAGTTACAGAAAATGTCAATACTCCCCCAGAGAAGGGGGGCGGTTGGGGGTCTCAAAGGCCCAAAAATTTAAGTAAATATATGAAGCTTGACTGGAATTTCCAGAGAGGTGGTGGTGGTGGTGGGGGGGGGGGGGTTGTCTAAGGGAAAATCCCCTTCTGTGGGGGAGGTATGGATAATTTTTGGAACCAAATATTATTAATCTTAGCTAACATTTTTAAGTGAGCTTAAGTAACAATGATGGGATGGCAACGAGAAGTCAGCAAAAGAGCAATAGGTTTACATGTAGATTGGCAGAACAACAACTTTGCATGTGCATCACGCTTTTTTGTACATTTTTTTGCTGTCACAGCATGACTACCACGTGACGCTGCCTAACTTTGCATTTTGGGGAGGACGTGGACACAAGACAACGACTTTCCTTTTCTTCTCCTGAACTTCGATACAGTCCCTTAGAGTTCAACTCTAGAAAAATTAGCCAACATTATGTTGTCAAATTGAACAAGATAGAATAATAAGCGTGAGAGATTTTAAAGCAGCACAAATTCACTTTTCAAGTGACAATTTCGTAGCCGTCACCGTCGTTGTTGCTTAAGCTGCCTATTAGCATTGCTCTGTTAGTCCTTTCTGAGCTGCAAATGATAAGCATACACATGTGCAGCTCACACATGATTTGAATATAGACATTAGAACAGCCTAACTTGCTTGATGAATGACTGGAAACTGGAGTATTAACTTAGGGTATTTCTCCAAATGGATTATGGTGAGGGTTCTTAGATGCCTCCCCCTGCCCCACATATATTCCCCCTAACAAAAGAAAAATGGTTAACAACTAATTTTGATTACCGCATCTCCTTGACTGTTTGTGTTAAGTTAATTGTAAACTCTTTTATAGGTGAATCAAGAACAATCTGAGAATCTCTTCTCCCTTCCTTACACTTTGCTTCCTGCTTTGAATGAAGGATTTTTCACAGATATTACATTCACAGCTAGTAATGGTGAAAAGGTATTTTCCTCTATTAAAAATCTGATGTCTTTTCTCGCTAATGTTATACATAATGGCACAAGGTAGATGTCGCACAAACCGAAATACCATGCATCCACTCCATAAGAATACATTTCTTTTGAGCATAAGAGTGCTGCAAGCCGTTATGTTCATAATAAAACTTGTGCTTTAATTTGTGTCCCATCCCAACTTTAAACAAATGAAAATCCTCAGATTACCAGTGACTAGGAAATGGAACCCACTTTCATTATGCTTAATTCTTCTACTTTTCTCTTTTTGCATAAATATCTAAATAGTGTAAATTTTATTTTTAATTTTTAAAGATTGAACTGTTTTGGAACAAAACCACAGGTGTGCATAATAGTATGTGAATAAACATGGACTTTAAATAACTCCTGCATATGTTTGTCTCTCTAAGATACTTCACTATATTATTATTTGATGCGACTCTTGTTGGGTACCTCTGTGACTAAGTTTTAATATTCCTTTTACCCAAAAACATTCAAGCTCTTTGTCATGAATTATTGTAAAATGGCTGACTTTTGTAAGTCTATAACAATCAAAAATTAGATGAACTTCCAATCTCAAGCCTAGGTGGTCTTTTATGCAGCCATTTTTTTTTTGCGTCGTCAAATAACTTTCCTCCTTGTGGGGTGGAGCATTGCATAACAAAATCTGGCTGTGTAGAAGACTACAGATCAGGCACATTTTCAGTATTATTCTGCCAAAAAACATTACAAGGTGATTTGAAAAACGATTGCTCATTAAAGCTGCTGCCTACTCCCTCACAGATAAAAAACAACTGGCCCTGAAGTTTAATTTTTTTTCCTTTTAGTTTCCAGCCCACAAAACTATCCTTTGCTGCTTTTTCACTGACATTTACAAATGGGACAAGATTCCTGCCTTCCTCACAGATCTCTCGCCAGATGTTTTGCGTGGCCTTCTGCACTATATCTATACCTGCTGTCTGCCGAGGGACTTGTCCGAGGACACAGCAAAGAAGCTAATGAGAATTTCTCAATTAAATAGCAACCATGTTGGAAGTTTAGGAGAGCTGTGTGTAGAGTTTCTTGAAGCTACAGCTGTTAAAAACAGTGAGTACTTTTACAAGGCTCTTGACGAATTTTGAGGCCTTAAGGAATTTTTACACGAAGTTGTACTTTAGAATTGAGCTCTGTGGACATGTGCAAAATTACGAACCCCCGCTCCCACCCCCCAGAAAAGCAAATTCGGTTATCACATGTGATGAAAATTTGCAAACAAATTTTATACATATTTTAACATACTAGACACATTGCCAAAGGCTTAGAGGGAAGGTAGCAAGCGTTAAGCAATGATTATTTCATTATGAGTTGGGCAACCCAGAAGAGATATTAGAAGGGGTACACAGTACATTTATGTCATTTTTTCCAGCATTTTGCTTCAACCTCGGACAAAACCTGTTGAGACACATCCAAAAAATAGCATTTTTTTTCATGTCATCCAGGCAAAAATGGAAACGTTGTTGAATGAATGCCCGTTTTTCCCCTCCCCTTATCCAACGTTGATTAGGATAACACGAGAAAAATGCTCGTTGGTTTTTAGACCAAAGCAACTTTGATTAGGGGGTGGAGAGGGGTCTTACTTTTTCTGTTTAGAGGAGATGGTAGTATGGCGCAAAGGTTAGAAAATAGATGGAACTGTCTTAAGAGTTTTTCCTGAGGTTGTAGGGCCAACCAAATAGAAGCTGTCCAATAGAATTTCAAAGTGTGACGTTGCATGATTGTGTTTCTTTGCAGGGATTAAAAGTTTGATGAGTGAAATGTTTGCCATTCTGGAGCAAGTCTTACAGATGACAGAATCTCTCGCTGCAGACCTTCGGCATAACAACACTCAAGCATACGCATTGATTGCTGGGACAACGAAGTCTGCACTGAAACAACTCGTTGTAGGTAAGCGGGATTGACAGTGAGAGAGAGGTCGTGAGTTTCGCATCATAAAGGCCCTTTCCACGTTTTTTTTTTTTTCAGCGTTTGATTGTGACCAGCTAGTAAAAATCAGTCAACACGGCTAAAATGAACGCCTTAGTATTAGTAAAGATGTCAAGTTTGAACGTGATTTGTAGAAAACTAACGAATATATTAATACACAAAATGTATGTAAAATTCGAATGGTAGGGGGCAAGTTGGTGCCTCTTCTCCCCCACTATACAAGCTTCTGTAAAATTTCTGGACTTAATGGAGCAATATTTTCGCTCCCTTTTAACGTATCGACTTTAAACTTGGTAAGTTACCTAATTTCAAGGCGCTCTTTGTAGCAGTGTCAATGGATATTCGCTAACTGATCTTTATCAAAACTGAAAAAAAAATTGTGGAGGAGTCGAGGATTGTTGTCGATGTTCTCGCGTGCTCATTGGCCGGCGTCGTTAGTCTTTAAGATTACGCGAACAGTGGATGCACAACGGAGCGATATCTACTGTCTTTGTTTAAGACTTTGCTTAGCAGGAAAGCCTTTCGCCACCGGCTTCTAGTTTCAGGGTTTCAACATTTAACATCACTTCTATGACTTATAAGAGCGTGTACAAGGAAAATTTACTGTCAGTTTTTTGAAAATGGGTTTCAGTATCTTAAAAAATAACACGGCAACTTACAAGAGCAGTGGCACATTTTAGCGATGAGCGATGCTTGTGTTATTTTCTCAGTTCTCTCGGTTTTTTTTTTTCGTTTTTTTAGGAATTTTAAAGTTTACTTTACTCTGCGACATTTTTACTAAGCATAAGTCTGATTTGTCAAGGGAAGAACGACAGGAAATTATTCAGCACAGTAGGAAGAGGTAGGCAAGTGCTTGTAGTTTACAATTACAGTGCTAAAAATTGATTTGACCGTAGACTCATTTAGCCTCAAAACACTTGTACAGTAATGTCGGAAAGCGTTTGAAAGTGCCTTAATTTAGTTTAAATAGTTACGTTGTAGTATTTTATCTATTGACGCGAAGGCGTAGGATTATACTGCGCAAACTCAAAAGTTAAAACCAGATTGCAGAGTACAATTAACGGTACCAGAGAAAATTACCGTCAATTGGAATGGTTACTGCTAGTTTACCAGCTGTGTTGAGGCTTTTTTGGGCGTTTTGGCTTTCCTAATGTGGTATTAAAGTATATGCTTACTGACTCGTATATACGTTGTGGTTTTACAGGTTACCGAGTTTTGTGGAACTAGTTGAAACGTTCTTGGTTATTTTTCAAGCTTCTGTGTCTGGACTCAGTCGTTCTGATAAGGAGGAATTGGCTGTGCACATCATTCCTGAGGTAAATTGTTGTTATTAATTCTATAGTTCCGATTTTGATGATGATTTTGATGATGATGATGATGATGATTGTAACATAACCTGAGCCAGGCTCTTGGATAGTAGGGACTTCGCAAAACACGAGTCCCGCGCTTTTTGCGTGCAAATTACTGTCTTGGAGCCTGAAAATGGCTAATAAACCTTATACACGATACCCGCCATCTTTGCACGCGCTTTAGGATTGATGGGATACAAGTAATGTCACGTGGTATCTCAGGGGGAAAGCAAGTGATGAAATTTGCTAATACGAGTAATCGCAATCGAGTTTGTTTATCCTCTCAAAACGATAATACAATTTTGAATTCGCAAAATGTACAGTTCAAGTTTCGAGTTTTTACGGTCGCTGCTGCATTGAGAAAAAAAACAACCATCACTTCCACCCATAATTTGCCATTGTTGTCTTTATTATAGAAAGTTCTTCATTTCTGTTGTCTAAAATAAACAAACAAAACCACGATTTCTTGTATTGGCAGATTTTATCACTTGTTTGCTCCCTGGGAAACCACGTGACATTGCTTTTAATCCATTATCCCTTAAGCGCGTGCAAAGATGGCGGGTATCGTGTGAATAAGGTCTATTGTAAAGTTGATGAAGATGACTATAGAGTGTTTTCACATGACGTCACGGTGGCCATATTGGTGTCCCAAAACAATGAAACGGCGGCCATGTTGGTGTCCCAAACCAGTCCTGTGGGAGTAGAACTCTTTTTTTATGCAAACGCTTTCTTTTGTTCCAATAAATTTGCATAGACGCTGGCCACGTGAGTGAAAACACTCTATAACAACGTTGACGATGATGATCGCAACAAAATGACATCAGAAATGTAAACCTACTTTCAAAGAGAAGCAATTCACTTTGACTTCCCTAGAAGTTTGTGAATAACTTAAATCTTTCACTGTCTTTAGGATTCCACTTTCATGTAGAATATATGCATATTTTTTTCCCTTTATTAAAAGATTGAAAAGATGTGGCTGACATCCACAGAGCTGGGAGGTAATGCCCTCGACGCACTAGAAAATATCACAAAGAAAGCAGATAAGGATCATAAGAAGAAAACGCACCTTCCAAAGATGGCAACGTCTTTAAGTCGAACACTCAGAAATGTAAGTGAATTCAGTGTCATTAAAGAGGAAAGGAAACTTCTTCTCCAGGGCTTCCAGTTTCTGGGGACAAAACCCTTTATGTGCAGTGATACTAACTGCGCCAATAGCCAAAATATGGACATTTTGTTGTCTTCGCGATAAGCAGCACAAAATCAAACCAGTTGAAACACTCACTTCAGAAACTCTAGGGAGAATGGTGCAAGCTTTGGGTGTAGTGATTTCTGGGATTTTTTGGGTGGATACGTGTTAGTTATGACTGGTCGATGGTATTCAAGGCAACCATTAACCAATAATAAGTATCGCTTGTCCACCCAAATGATCCCAAAAACCGTTGCGCCGAAATTTTGTACCCATTCCCCCTTACAGTTTCTGGAGCGAGGAACTTTTGTGATCGTCCACGCACATGAGGAGCTTACAAAATGACGACGACGACGTTATCGAAAACAACGTGAAAACAAAAACAACGACAACAGGTTGGGTCAGTTAGTGACCCTTTTACCACTGTCGTCGTTGTGGTTTCGTTAGCCACCTCTTTCTTCCTTCGCCCAAGAAAACTGTGTGCCTGCATCGTTGACTACCTTTAAATAACAAACTGGCATTTAGCTTCGTTTACGACCTCATTATCGAATTGATCACGAACATACAAAACGTTTGGTTTTTAGGCTGTTCACTTAAGAGAAGTGATGACATTGAAGAGATTTCAGCAGAAAGTTTCATCGACACTTGTGTTTTTGTTACAGAAAAGGTAAAGTTTCATTTGTGAAATTGAACATGTGACTCCTCTAAAGATGGATCCGTACATACGTCTTAAACATCTTCTTTTTAATTTAGGGGAGATTTTGGTGCTTTATCAGAAGACCAAAAAATCAGGGCAGTAGTTAAATCCATGGACAAAATAATGTTAGAGGTAAGCAAGACATTTTTGCTCGACGCATTACTGGAGGGAAGCAGTTTTAACCAGCTTCTTGACCCTTTTTTCGTGAAGCTAAACAAATACGGGGAAATATAATAACAGTGAATTTATATAGCGCTCACATCCATTAGCTGCTCGACGCGCTTCACAAAGATTAGAATTATGCTAAAAGACTAACAAACTAAAAACTAAGAATGATAAAGAATGCGCTAAAAACATCAAAGAAAGAGCTAAAAAAAATGATCTTAAAACATCTCAAACATCTAAGAATGAGCTAAAAACATCTAGCAATATGCTAAAAAGCTACTAAAATGGGAAGTTAAGAATATGCTAGGCTAGTTTTTTTTAAATATTATTTGTTTGCAGATTCCAGAGCAAATTCGCACTCTTCAAAAATTTCCAAAAGTATTTGAGAAAAAGCTCTCTTGGAAAGAATGGAAACATTCATATAAAGTGTGGACGTCTTTTGTGGTGAGTCTGAAACCCGGATTTGCGTTAGATAACTTCTGTTCAACAATGTTAGAACGTGTGGCATTCATAGAGATAATTAGCGGGAAAATTTTGCATTACTTTGTTTTTCACTACAACTCTTTGTGATTGGCTGAAAAAATCTCGCGTCACTTTCTCAACCAACCTACAGAGCCTTGCATTACGAAAGGTGATGGCGAATAGAGTCATTCTTGAACCAGTAGTGGAAGAAGCTAGCAGCCTTATACACGATGCTGAATTCACTAATCTCGTCAAAGAAATTGGTTTCCTGAGAGAATCCGAGGATGAAGACAAACCTGAAAATCCGTCACCACCGAAGGTAATCTTTTTAGCATGTACAAAAGTAGTTGTTTTTAACCTCCTCAGGAATCACCAGTTGTTTTGTAACGGATTGGAAGTCCCAGGCATAAGTGGGCATATTTACCACTAAATGTAGATGAAACAGAATTAAGAAAATTATGTCTCGAACGCAATTTTAGCAGTTTATCATCAAGTCGTGGGCATTTAGAAACGGTTGCTCTTTCTGGATTTAGATACTGTAAACTGGAAAATTGACTATCTTTATTATCGTATCCGTCACTATAGTACACGGCTGCTGATCACTGACATACATGGCACGTGTTACATATGAACCTAATTAGTAAGAGTGTTGTTTTCTGGAGTCGTTATATAGCTCACTGGTGTGGACACCAGATCCATGTGTGGAATAACCTGGGCTCAAACCCTTCAAAGCATTCTGGGCCAAGTTGTTCAAAGGCCGATCAGAGCTAACCCAGGGTTAGAGTTTAATCCGGGTTTTCTTTTTCGTTTGTTCAAAAGCACATTCTCGGATATTTTCTCAACTGTTTTTAGAGCGTCCAATCAACAAATTATAGACAAAAACTATAAACTGAATTTGCTTTTTACGTTTTCATATTTCCTCGTAAAAACTTAGTCGCGTGGTAAGCGTTCAAAGCTAGTTATGTATTGTCTCTGTTGTCGAGTAGTGGTCTCAAAATTAACTCATTGCCAGTTGTTTTCTTACGTATTATGTCCATTAATAATTTGAAGATAATATCTCCGATTCTTGTGATTTTTGCTTTTCCTTTATTCTTCTAGAAAAGCACAGCACGTGTGGAGTCCGTAGTCACTTGTCCGCCGGGCGATAAGAGCCCACTCGCACAGTCGGTCTTGCAACTGTTACTTTCTGGAGATAATGCTGATATGAGCTTCACCTTCGACACAACAGACCTAGTTCATTGTTCTACTTGCGCAGAATGTAAACACTTCAGTAAGCAGAACAGCCGAGCGGAGATTCCCGCGCACCGTGTTATTGTAGCAACACGTTGTGACTGGTTTAGAAGAGCACTGCTCAGTGGAATGAAAGAGTCCATTGAAAGGTGAGGAATTCCTTGGACGATTTAGTTTCAACCAATAATTATATCAAACCTAAGATGCATATGCCTGGTTATGGGATGTAACTCTCTGTTGTGCTTACATTTTACAACAAGGGGTACCTTGCGGCAAGTGCCAACGGGGCGAATTCGTTTATCTTTTGTGGAATGTGCCTATCCAGATCTTTGCGATTTGTTACATAATTTTAGAGGTTTACAATGGATTCCGCAGTAGAAAAACTTTTAAAAAAACTTTGGCACATTCTAGGCTTTCACTTCTATTAAGCAATAACAAGATGGCTTGAAGCTTTGTTGGTAAATTGGAGCATGTTAGGATCATGGACTTGTGTTTTACGGAAATTCAAAACTATAAACGTTAGAAAGTAAAATATAATTTAAGCGAGCACTTGGACTGCTGAAAATAAAATAAAAATTAAATTGCGAGCTTTCGCCTATCAATGGATCATCAGGGATTAGAAAATACTCCGCGTGGTAATGTGAAAAAATTGGTGTAAAGCAAAATATGTGAAAAGCGAAAGAAAGGGGCGGAATGTATCTGAGGTATAATAATATAAACTTGAATAAAATACAAAGATCTAATGAGCGAGTGACACGGGACGAAGAGTCTCTCTAAAGGCATAATGATTCTTAAGGATGGTCTTTAAATCGGAATGTCCGCAAATTCATAGTTCCTCACGGGAGTTTAGGGATGTCTCAATGTAAATCGAGCAGCCAAAAGAACATGCTGGTTGACAGAAAGGCAAAAATAAATCAAAAATAAATTGGTCGAAAGGCAGAAATAAATTCTAAAAAACAAAAGGTCCTCAAATGCGTTGCATTCTTCACGGGAGGTAAGGACTGGTTCAACGTAAATCGAACTGCGAAGAACACGCTGGTTCTGATAAAGGTTTTGAGAATATAACCCTATTCCTTGATTAGCTACCGCATATAATTCAATTTACAAAGGAAAAGAGGATACTGAAAACTCTGGTTCTGAGTCGAGAGGCGAACACGCTACCTCAGTGTAATAAATCGAGCTGTGAAGAACAAGCTGGTTCTGACAAAAATTGGAGCGTAAAACCCTATTCCTTTATCAGCTGCTGCTTTAAACGCAATTTATAAAGCAAACCAGAGCACTAATAGCCCTTTAAAACTAGAAACCGTATTAAAGCTTGCTCACCTGTTAGGTCCTCTTGAACAGACAACGAACAGCCGCACACTGGATCACCCAATTGACCACTCCAGAAAATACCATAACATACCATAATGCTCTTTGTTTGTCACCCCAACATTTTGCATAAGCATTGTCTTGTTCCTCTTGGGAGTTAATATGGCCCCAAGAGAAACTGAAAACACTCATGCAAAGTTTTGGGGTGACAAACAAAGAGCATTATGGTATGTTAAGGTATTTTCTGGAGTGGTCAATCTCGAACCATGAGTTGTAAAAAGAAGACCATGACGTCACTGCCCAAATATGGGGTCCTACTTACACCCAGATATGGTCAAAAATGTAAATTTTAGAGAGTTACGCAGAATTTGAGAGTTTTTGCAGTAAATGTATTGGTGTAGCACTGGAACCAATAGTGGAATTGCACACGTTTTAGGTATCCCACTGATGAACAGTTCCGACTTATCGATATTTCTAGCAACCATTTGCCGTCTCTCCCCTTCGAATATTGATGAATAAACAATAGTTCTTGACAAAACTCAAAGGAAAGGTTCGCAAAATGTTACGTGCATTAAGATCCGATTCCCAAACACCTCTCTCGATAGTGATTTGCTTTGTTTTTCTCTTGTTTGGAAAGCCCTATGAAACACGCGCACTTGTTTTAAAAATATAATGTCTGCGGCCAACTTCAATTAGGCTCCGTGCTGGCTTTGAAAGTAGACTTCGGCCTTACGAGTGCATGTCTTCTTGGGTACTTGGGTTACTGGATATCGTCAGGTTACGCATACATGCACAAGCAGTGTTTAAAGCTCATTTTTTTGTTTTCAAAGTCGCCCGTTTTGGCAACCAAACATTATAAACGGTGGCTAGGCGTCTCAAATGAACACATACTCCGACAGCCAGGGTGGAAGAGGAAATTATAGAGAAAATGAAACGTAAATATCTCTTGCAAATGTTTCATGATCTTTCTGTAGCCTATGGAAAGATCATAATTACGAGCCAATAAAAACACTACCATATAACAGCTTGCCACATGCATTTGCTACCGAACGCACGGCTCGCCAATTGGCGATTTTCACTACAAGTTTAGTCGCCATTTTTTTTCTTCTCGCTGTGGCAACCAACTGAACGCTCACAGCTTGGAATACTAACAAGTTGGCATGAGAACGAAAGATGTTCCTTGAATCGTGTTAGTAAAAATCCGCTTTCTCCATTCAATGCATTTACTAGTCGTTTGATTATGTAACCCGCAGTGTTAAAATTCTAAATTTCAGACGTATATTAGTCCCTGACACGAGCCCGTGTTTATTCCACAAGTTTCTTGGATACCTGTACAGCGGTACGCTTGATAAGCGCACTCTCAGTACGGACGATGTCCCTGAAATGCTAGCACTGAGTGACAAGTATGAGGTATGATGACCAACTGAACTCGTTATATATAGCCTGCGAGCAAGCTCTCCTATTTGGGCGAGCGAAGAGAGTCTCTCGAGAACGCGCGAGCGAGCGGCGAAGCCGCGAGGAGCAGGGGAAAGGCCTCTCGCTCGCGCGTTCTCGCGAGGCTCGCTTTGCTCGCAGGCTAGTTATATAGTGTGAACATACGTGTCAATAGTTGAGGTTTATGAAAGGTTAGGGAAATCTGTCATTTCCTTCTATAAAATGACCTAAAAGGGCTACAGAAGGATTTTATGGCTGTGAAAAAGTCGGGAAATTTAATAGTTTTGCGATTTATTCATATTTAAACTTAAAGAAAGTGCATTTACAGTGGTTAAAAGGGATCCAAAGTTCTAAACAAGGTTTGTGAAGGGGGCACCATTTGGGTACCTTTTCTGTCCAGAATGGCGTATAAAAGGGTATCTGGTTAGACTTCGGAGCGGTGCCTCCCGGTATAAAATTTTGTTGGGTACCCCCATCCCCCCCGGGGCTCGTTATTCACCAATCACTAGCAACCACGGTGGTACTCTAGTCCCACTCAGTATATCGACACCAATGAAGACCTGAAAGGTCGAAACCCGAAACATCGCGATCAACAACGAAGTGATTACCTCGAGACAAACGGATGAATAACATCTTTCACGACAACTATGTGGTATCCATCAACAAACGAATGAATTAACCACAAAAGGTTTTTAGTTATCACCAGTATAGAACGCGGTTGGTTTTTAAAGGTCAGTTTTACAAGACTAAGAAGTTAAGAGAAATTACATTCTAATTCGCTACCCCGCTCAAACGAATATAAAACATTTATCATGTAACAAGCAACCTCAACTGGGGTGTGTCAACACGAGCCGTGTGCGACCCTCTTTATTATGCTTTCATCAACAGAATGGATGGAAATAATACAACAAACAGAATGAAAACTCAAAAAATTTCAAAAACAGCACTGAACGCTCGTATAACAAACTAAACGTCAACTCCCTTTCATATATAGCAGACAAAAACTGGCCCTGGTCACTGGGTATTTCATTTTGAGGGCGAGGGACGGTCGCAAAAATATCAACTCCCTTTAAGCGTCAGCTCAACCCCCAAAGAAAAGGTTACAGATGAACCCTTGTTTTCGGGGCTTACAACAAGGACGAAACAGCTGTCCATGGCTGCCACTGCCCGCGTGATATGGCTGTGCGCATGCGTGAGGTACTGGCCATACCGCGGAGTTAATACTGTGTGCTCGCCTTCAGTGCTGAAATTGGTGTTACTTATGATAAGTGACTGTTCAATTGCCACAACAGTGACACCCTAGCTGTGTGATTATAATTTAGGGAAAGCAGTTTCTTTCTTAAAGATCTCTTGCTGTTATTATTCTGTTACAGGTGGATTCTTTGAAGGAGATTTGCGAACAGATTTTGCTGCGTGATGTCGATGAAGACACAGTGCTTCTCTACATGGGCTTGGCGGAACAGTTTACTGTTCCCCGTTTGAAGGTATCTATCGTACTTTCGTTGACAAGCGTTGAAAACCGTTGTTGTTATTGGCAAAGCGCACGCCGCGTGAGTTTATTGAATTAACATCAGGACAAAAGAAAGTACAATCAAACAGGGCCTTCTTCAGTAGGTAGAAAAACACCTTTAAGTAATGATCCGGGTAAGGAGGAAGGCAATATTATTATTATTATTATTATTATTATTATTATCATCAAGTCATCATTATTATTATTGGGCATTAATCTTTCCCCACAGACAATGTTTTCACTTTTACTCAGAGAATGCATAAACCTACAGAAAGGCAGTTAACAAAATATTTTTGAAAGGTCGTTCCTTGTGGTTAAAGATTTCGACCAATCATGAGCTGCAAACAATAGACAAGAAAAGTTTACAGTTTCACATGTTGTGACATAGGAATTCTGTGTTGTTTAGACTCAGACAAGATTTTGTTATAAGCGGGGAGTTGGTTGGAAAACTAAGGATTAATATACATGCTGTTTTGCGACGTTTTCGTAAATCTTGTTGTTTAGACCAAACAGAAGTATAGTACAGACAACAGAGCGTTTTCACTTACGTGACCAGTATCTATGCAAATTTATTGGAACAAAAGAAAGCGTTTGCATAAGAAAAGAGATCAACTCCCACGGGTTGGTTTGGGACACCAGCATGGCCGCCATTTCATTGTTTTGGGACACCAATATGGCCGCCGTGACGTCATGTGAAAACTCTCTATAGGGAGTTTAAGCAGTCGCGTTTTCGAGCGACGCAAGTAAACCGGAAGTGGACTCAGCAATACAAATTTGGTTGCGTCAAAGCATATTAATAAAAGAAATCACTTCGGTTCACATGCGTTGCTCAAAAACGTTGCTGCACGTTGCAGCTTAAGCTCCCTATTAGTTAAGTTAGCACCTTTTATCTGGATCGTTACTCAAATTAAACGCTTTAATTTAATCCGGAGGTACATTTACACACTGAGGGTGTGGTTCATTGTTCCTGTTTCTATTTTTAGGAAGAATGTTTACGTTACATTGCTGCGCATCTTGAGGTCATGGAGTCAGACATGTTCGAAGAGCTTCCGTCCAATTTAAAGAAAGAAATCACAGATAATGTGAAGCAAAACATGTAAGTTAGATCTAATAAATAAGTAAAGTCATAGTATGTGTCTAATTCCAGTTGAACTTACCACGATCGTGGACTTAAGATTCGACTGACCAAGCAGAGAGAATTATTTCGTTAAAAAGATGACTTAATGCCATACTGATCTAGTACATGTTTTGAAGTTTCGTATCAATACGTATCTATTTGTTTCTTTTTCTTCATAATACCCTCGAGGGTTAACAAAGAAGTGTTATAGAAGTAAGAGCTTAGGAAAGATATCTCCTTCAGTAGAGAGGGTCGCACTATTTGTTGTTGCTGGTGATATGTATGGCCATTTTACTTGTCTTCTTTTGTAGGCCGCAGGCTGACCCAATTTCAGAAGAGGTACGGCAAGCCTTTGCAGTAAGTATTCCTCATTTGACACCGAACCGTTTCTTTGATTTCTATTTCTATTTGAACGACGCGAATCCAAATATTGAAACATTATTTGTCGATTTTGTTCCAAGTTGACGACGTTAGAAGACTTGGGGGATCTGTTAGATGATGATGATGACGAGGATGATGATGACTATGATAGTACTGGTGACGATGATGATGACGTCATGCCGCGTGGGAACAGCCAGGTCGAACGGTGTATTGAAACTCTAAGGGGTGTCTTGGGAGACGCTGTACCGAGAAGGGAACTCTTGCGCGTGACTCTTGCTGCGGACTGTGATCCTAACAGAGCGCTTAATTTCTATTTTGCGTGACACCCATGAACCGATATGGTGTTACACCTCCTTCGCTTTTTACACACGGCGTCTGATAAACTTTAACTTCAAAATACACGTTAACTTCGATTTTTGTGATAGTATTGCAGAGAGGAGGGAGGTTGGGGAGGTGGTCGACTAACGGGGCTGAGGTAACAAACTTTCTCTGATTCATACTCAGCCTGCATATCTGGCGGTTTTGTTTGGAAGGGACAATGGGGTTGAGAGGTGCGAACGAGCGACGAGGCCGTGAGGAGAATGGAGCGCTTTCTCGGCTTCGCCGCTTATTTTTGCGCAAACCAGACAAAACCGCCAGCTCTGCGCACGTTGTACTATCTTTTTTTGCCTCTCAAACGTTTCGAATCACTTGTTCCGAGCGAGTCTCTCGGTCGTTCGTCTCGAATACGTCACCGAAATGCATTGTACCGAGAAGACGCCGTCTTTTGGAAGTACTTTCTACGTCGAAAGCGATACGCCTCTTTCCAAAATGGCGTCAAATTTTGCCTTGTTTTGTCTTTATGATAATTGGCCCTCGATGCCTAGTTTAAGGTAAAATTTCTTTTCAAGGTACGTTTTCACTCACGTGGCCAGCATCTGTGCAAATTTATGGAAACAAAGAAAGCTCTTACGTAAGAGTTCAACTCCACAGGATTGGTTTGGGACACAACACGCTCTATTTTGCAAGTGCAATCGAAGCAAAGAAGGCTATTTAGCGTAAATTTAAAAGACGAAAATGTTACATCTGGATTAAGGTTTCTTAGCCTCATTCGTGTGGTATTGCGAATGTGTCACCCATGGAAAGTTAGCTTTCGGGGATGTGAGCGAGTTATAGATCATCCCGCCGGGAGGAACAAAAGTCGTTTTGGCAACTTTTAAGTTTTTTTTAAGACTGAATACTGATATAAACCTTTTTCAAAGATACTGTATTTTAAAAAACGAAATTACAGCGTATCCAGTGGTGTAAAGAGCGCAAAAAAATAATCTATTGGTGAGACGTTCGAGTTCTTTCCTCACAAGCGAGAGGAAGCAGTTAGATAAATGGAATTATCTATCACAGGACATTAATTTCAGGACTCACGGCATGAGCTGTAGTTATTTGAAGGATTATTTTGACATCCATCGTATGTTGCCTCGCTGTTGGCGTCTGTTACTTCGCAGTTAAGTTTAAAAATTAAAAATAATTCTTCGGTACAATTTTTCGTCCAGAGATGGGTGATATTTTATTCCTGTCTTGACGTTTTTTTTCGGGGGGTTTTTAATGAGTATTATTTAAATAACTTCAATAAGGTTGTCTCAGCTGTACAACTAGCAAATCCTGTATGAAATATGTAACGTGTATAAAGAAATTAGGTATTTATGTTTGCAAGTTCTGAAACTGTTGCTTGGGAGATTTTTTAATAAATTTTCTGAATGGTCGGTAATTTGGTCTGTTTATTCTGACACCCTTTTTCTCCGCTAAATCCAGACATATTGTTATTTATTTCCCGTGATAATAAGATGTTTAAAACTATGAAAAGATAAATACTGCCATTTGTCATTTTTTGTTATAGTAAACTTTCCGCAAAATTAGCATTTTAGAGCCGCCAGGTGCATTTTTTTTAGTTTATATCGCCTGGCAACAGAACGCATTTTTGTGACGAATATGAACTTTTTTCGTTAAAAATACAAAGTTAAAAGTCTCCATAGCACTCAGAGTTAAACGTCAATGTATTGACCAAACTTATTATGCTTTGGGACTTGAGGAGAAAATCATAGGCTATTTAACAAGTGATTAATAATTCATATCTAAATTTTTTCAATTTTCTCTTTTGAACCACCCGAAGTTGCTATGTTTAGCATGTTTAACATAACAGAAAACGGCTTTGAACGTTTTAACTTCCTAGCGAAGAAAAGACGTTAGAATCATTCTACTCCTTGACTTCTGCTTTCGAAGGGGATAATTCCGTTAACAATCTTGAAAACAGGAAGGTAATGAGGCAACTTGGTAGTGTTTACATGTGGCGTCGAAATGGGATGCGGGACTTCGAAGACGCTGCAAGTTAATGCGGATCTCAAAGAAGCTGATATCGTTAAACAAGTTCATATCGAAGAGGATGATGGAAGAGAGCTGGAGACCAGCAGCAAGGAGTTTATCTCAAAAGACGAAAGCGACGAAAACGTTCATCTTACAAAGTTAGAAGACGACACTTCGAATGCGCCTATACAGCAGCAGAAAGAATTTGCTCTTGGCGATCGTGTTCATATGCGTGGCTACGTCGGTATTGTAAAGTTTGTAGGTACGACTGAACTTGGTGAGGGGGAGTGGATTGGAATAGAAATGGACCAAGAACTGGAGCAAGGGAATGACGGATCTTACGAAGGGATCCAGTATTTTCTTTGTGGGAGAAAACGCGGTGTTTTCGCGAGACCTACTATGGTATTTCCTCACCCGAAACGGGATGATGCGGGCCAAGCATCACGTACTCTTTCACCCGCAACAGTCGTTTTTATTCAGGCGAGATTGCGCCGTGTACTATCAGGGATTCGTAGGCGAAAACTGCAGCTTCGCACCGATATTGATAAGGCTATTGACGCGCACGTGAGAAGCATACCAAAGAGCGAAACAGAAACAGTTGCTAAACTTAGCCATTATCTCACGGAACCATTTGAAGGACTGCGAAACAGGGCTTTCGCTTTATATAGGTGGATAACCGTCAACGTGTACTTCGACGTTGAGGGGTACTTTGAGCGTGCGGCAATGCGTGGCACTGACTCCGAAAGCGTGCTTCGAGAACGCGTCACGTCGAGCGAGGGTTATGCAACTCTTTTCGAGGAACTGTGTAAGGCGTCCAATGTCCCTACCAAGAAAGTCAGAGGGTTTGCTAAAGGATACGGCTATCATATGAGACAGAAAATTAGACATCCGAATCATTCGTGGAATGTGATAAGAGTAAGCGGTGGAAAGTGGTTCATCTGTGATCCGACATGGGGAGCAGGAAGAATCGGAGACGACATGATGTTCCACAGGGATCCCAACGTACACCAGTTTATGATCCAGCCTTCAGTGGCCATCACAAGTCGGTTCCCCGTTGATGAAAGATGGCAGTTTTTGGATCAACCGATCACGAAGGAAGCTTTTGAGCGATTAGCGGTGCCTTCGGGACACCTCTGTGTAATGAACGTTGCCCTGTGCAGTCATAAAGAAAGCATGTACACTGCTTCCGAGAGCGAACAAATTGAAATGACATTTTATGCCACCGATAGCACGATTTTCAAAGGTGTGCTAAAAAGCTACGCCGGAGGAAAAGAAAAGCCAACGGCCAGAAACATGGTTCGTTTTGAACCCGCCCGTCAAAACGACAAAGTCAAACTAACTGCTCAGTTTCCTTCTGCCGGTGAGTTTTTCTTGGATGTCTTGGTTCTTGTCGACTGCAAGTGGGAACATGGGGTCAGATACTGCATTTATTCCACGGGGGGTGTTGGAGAGGTACGAGGTGGCTTTCCCTCGGTAGGTCGAAACTTTTATTCCCTGGGATTTCAACTACATAAACCTTTGAAGAACATCGAAACTATGAATGGAAAGTGCTGTGTTTATTTGAAATGCAACAAAAAGCGGTTTGGCTCACTAACAGGGAAGTTGGTAAAGACATCCAGCCCGACCTCCGACGAAACAAACGATCATAGACTATACTGCAGTGAAAAAACCGACAACGGTTTCCTCCTGAAAGTCCACTTGCCTTATAAAGGAGAACACAGACTGTCTATTTATGCCAAATACCATGACCACAGGAAACCCAACGAATACTTGTGTACATATTTTGTAACGGCGTACAAGGGAGCTGGACAAGCTGCTGGGTTCCCTGCTATATCAGATCGATTCAAAACTTGGGGCTTAACGCTTGTGAGTCACCAAGAAAACATTTTAGCTGAATCTGGACGCTGTTCTATCGCGCTGAAAACCCCCGAAGAAATCACACTCTCCGCACATCTAAGTTTAAGAGGAGATGACGTTCCCGGAATGTGTTCAGTGGAAAAACTTGAAGAGAAATCCATGATACATGTGCACGCCCCAGAAGCCGGACTGTTCACACTGAATGTTTTTGGACGAAAAACGGCTGACGAGAAGTCGGAGTTTCTGTGCACCTACACTATCAAAGCTTTAAAGGGTGTGAGCGATAATCCTGGTTTTCCTCAAATCTCCGAGCTTTTCAAGAAATGGGGTGTGGAATTGATCGATCCACACGAGAACATTTTGTCGGAAAATGGACGAGCCTGTTTGAGACTCAAGACACCAGGGAGCGTTTTAGTTCAAGCAACATTGCATCAAAACGACAATCCTCTACCTCATGAGCTCTGTTTCACTGAAAGGGAAGGAGCTGTCAGCAAAATCAGCGTCCATTTACCAGCGGTCGGTTTATATAAGCTTAACATTTTCGGGCGAGAAGGCCCCGGAGCCAAAGGTCAATTCCTTTGCTCCTTCAGCGCTTTGGCCACGTGCGGGTACGAGGAAAATCCGGGATTCCCTCGGGTCTCCGATGAGTTTCGAGCGTGGGGCCTTCGGCTAGAAAGCCACCGACAGAACATTACTGTGTATGACGGGTCGGTCGCAATCACGTTGTTAAACCCCAACGCTATTAAGATTTTTGTCCATCTCTTGAACGAAAACGAGGAAAGCCAAGACAAGGGGTGCATGAGAACAGAGAGAATCGAAGAAAGAGACGTGATCTACTGCCAGCTCCCAAAGAAAGGAAGATATAAGTTAGATTTGTATGGGAAGAACTCGAAAAAGGCCAAGAAAAAGCTCTTCCTTTGTAGTTATTCTATCTGTTACTAGCTCATTCAAAGAGACGTTCGGATTTAACGCGTTACTCTAATATCACCACGGAAGATAAATCTGCCTGTAAACACCTTTAAAGGGGCGGTGTCACGGCTGCCTAGTTCATTTTGCTTTTGATGCCAATCACGCGTTCTTATTCGCTATGGAACTTGAGAAATTAAAGTGCGACTACTCGAACCGGGGTACTATGATGAAGATTATCCAATCACAACGGTTTTTGAAAAACAAAAGATTCTCAATTTTTTTTAAAAATTCTTGAATTTGAGGACTGTTTCCTGACAGGTCAAGTAAGTTCAAACGGTTTTAAAGTTTTCAACGGTTGCATTGTGGAACATTGAATTTTATTGGTCCGTTTGCAAAAAAACTTGAAAATCTTTTGTCTGCAAAAAACGTTGTGATCGAATACTCTTCTTCCAAGTGCCCCGGTTCGACCAGAGAAAACAGCCGACATTTCGCGAAGCCACCAAAGGTTTCCCCTTGAAATGACGTCTGAGAAACGAGCGCAGAAAGATCTGGGGAGTGCTTCTGATTGGCTGAAACAAATTTCCCACGCGGCACGACCAATCAGAAGCACTACCCAGATCTGGGTAGTGACGCGTCATCAGTATGGAATTTCTGCGCTCGTTTCTCGGACGTCATTTCAAGGAGAAACCGCTGGTGGCGTCTCGAAATGTCGGCTGTTTTCTCCGGCTACGGTTCGAGTAGTCGCACTGTAATTGTGAATGACAATATCTGAGCTTCATTTCAAACAAATAATGTCTTCCAAGGATTATATCAAACATTACAAACAACAAAAGTGAACTTTGAAAACTTGTTAGGCTGACAAGTTTTCAAAAACCACAATTGCAATCCGTTTCAATCTTCTTCAAGCTTCGTCCATCCGTGCTTCCTGTTGTATTTGGTGTGTTATTTATACCTTCGTTTAATGTTTTGAAGCACTCAGTTTGGTGGCAGATGTTACTGTTTGAATTTCTATATTCGTGACACAGCCCCTTTAATTTCTTTTTGTGGATGGTATCTCAACTGGCTTATACATTGTCACAAAATACATTGCGCAATATAGATTAGACGGTGTACATAAATCGGGTTTAAAATGGTGCGTTTTATCAATTCGTAACTTACTAGAGAAACTCTTTGCGTTAATATTTAATGATTCTACAAACTCTGCAGGAATGTAAGTTATGCAAATTTTTTGAAAGGAGATCGAATAGTAAAGGGATGATATATTCCGTAATTATTGCTTTATGTTAAATTTTTCTTCCAAACTTGAAAATTACGCAAGCCTTCACTCAGAAGTTGGTTAACAAGCCCTCTCAGTTAGGAACGGAGACTGAACTCGCTCAGAGTTCATTTATCTTATTCTAACTGGTCA